CCGGGTTGGAAGGGACCTCAAGGATCATGTAGTTCCAACCCCCCTGCCTAGCAGGGCCACCAAACACACACATTCAGATCAGGTTGCCCAGGACCCCGTCCAACCTGGCCTTGAACACATCCAAGGACGGGGCATCCACAACCTCCCTGGGCAGCCCGTTCCAGGGCCTAACCACTCTCCTTGTAAAGAACTTCCCCCTAACATCCAACCTCAATCTTCCCTCCTTCAACTTGGATCCATTTCCCCTAGTCCTGCTGTTGTCAGCCCTTTTGAAGAGTTTACTCCCCTCGTGGGTGTAGGTTCCCTTCAGGTATTGATAGGCTGCAATGAGGTCACCCCGCAGCCTTCTCTTCTCCAGGCTGAACAAGCCCAACTCCCTCAGCCTGTCCTCATAGGGGAGGTTGATAAATGTCAACAACAACAACAACAACAACAAAAAAAAGAAAAAGAGAAAAAGAAAAAAAAAGAAAAAGCAAATACAGTGTTTTTGTTTTGTTTTTTGTATTAGTTGGTACCTGAATCTGTACCATAAAAGAAGTCAATGGGTTTAACATTTGAGCACTTTTTGCCTTATGCTATTTGAACATCAGCAATTATAACCTGACATTCTAAGAACCATGACTATTTTATATGTGACTGTGAATTAGCAGTCATTTAGTGAAAACAGCAGCTGTATTTTGGAATAGTGATGCTGAGACAAAATCTATTCCAAAATTTATTCAGGATTTCTCAGAACCATCTGTCATCCTGTTCAGCATTATGCCCTATGCCTAATCACTGTAAATTGAAAAATAGAGCCTCCTAGCTGCAGAATAAGATCTACGTATTTAATTGAACGGATTGTTGAAGATTTTATTCTGAATATAATACAAGTTTAAAAAAAAACAAAGATCAAGGCACTATCCAGCCATGGTTATGGGAGTTGGTTGCATTTTACCAGAAGTCTCGCAAGCAGTAACCAGCTGCACATGCAACTCAGTATTTGACTCTTAGATTCTAAATGCATATTTCTAGTTTGCTTATCATTGCTATTAAAATTGCAGAAGGTGTAGCTTAAACATCTGCTAATGTTATAATAAACAGGAAGGTAATTACATTTGTAGTTCTTCCTTATCTTTTGTCAAAAAATGTCCATCTGTCCTTCCATTCAATACTGCATATTTACAATTTCTTGTACTTACAACGGAGCTGTGTAAGACAAGAAGATTTTCTTAGCTAGCAGTGTTGAGAAGTATTGTTTGCTTAATCAGCCCTTGGCTCTCGATGAGAAGTTCTTGCAAAGAAGAGGCCAACAGAAGCAGATGTTTTTTAATGAAAGCAACTCCATTTTATTCTGTCACTTACAGAGCAATTAAGTGCTACCGATCCAATCAAATACAATGAATATTCAGTACCTCTTTAACATTATCAGCCATGTTATTGAACCAACTGAAAGCATGCCCCTGTGGCACACAAGGATTATAAATAAATCCTCATTATATCCTTTCTTTAAAACTTTTGATAAAGACATGTTGTAAGGGCATATACAATTTTCCAAGGACTGTATTTTTATAGTCTAATACTTAAGTAGACATATTTCCTCGTATACAATTAAAGACTACTCGTATAATGCACAGAACAATTTCCAGTGATCTTTCCTCCAATCTGTTTCCAAAATTCTCACTATTAATATCTCTCAGGATTATATAGTGAGAGTTCTCCAGTACTTAATTTAAGCCCACAGAGGAGTCCTGAAGAAATCTTATGTGTTCTTATGAGAGTAAATATATCCTTTCACTTTCTTTTGAATTCCACCTGATCCTTTCAGTAGTATCTGGTCTCTTTTCCAAGGGCTATGCAGTAACAAAGGTCTATTTTTTTATTAGCAGTGCAGGCGGGCAGACCATGATGGTCCATTTTCTCTTACTGAGTCAGGAAAAAACATATTCTCTTTGCTTTGGCCTGCTGGTTCTAACAGATTTGTTCGGTTTACTTTGTTATTATCATCCTAAGAAATAAAAGTGAAGAAGCCTTCTAGCTGCTTCAAATTGGAGTAGTAGATGTCAACCTTTTAGTATCAAGTAAGAAAGAGTTTCATGGTTTCTACTTGTTTCTGCTCTCCATTGCCAAAGAAATGGGGAAATTTAGATCTTATGAGGGTCTTCTCTCATCAAAAGAAAAATAGGAAAGGAGCAAACCAGACGGATAATCGGAGAATCTGGAGATTTTGTTGTACCTGAGGGATTAGTGGCCTCCCATGGGGACAAAAGGCTCTGATCACTTGTATACATAGAACAGAAATTATTTATGCACTTCCTTGGTTCGGCTACACTTGCAATGTTTGATTAAACTTTATGTTTTAGGCAAACTTCCATAGTTTTCATACAGTTAAATATCAGTATGTTTATACATTTTTACAGTTAATAGCAGTACGTCTCCTTTATTTCTCTATTGAAGTTGCAAGAAAATAAAGGAAAGCTTCTTTGTGACCTGTAGGCCACATGAAAGCGCTGATCTTATATGTATTATGCAAAAACTTGAGCTCTTTTTCTTCTGAATGCAGGGGCTTAATCTGTTGAAGGGCACGTCCTGTGTAGGTTGATGCTTCATGCTCCTCTTGTCAGCTCCTACTCTGTAAACTCTTGGTTTTCATTTCATTTTGCTGACTTTTCTTACCATTCTTTTAATCAGAGAGATGATAGAGGTGACTGTTCTGTAAATACCCGAGATTCATTAACAAGAAGAAAAGCAGAGATAAATGCCTTCTCAAATTAAGATTTTCTTTCTTACATTGCTCAGAAGGCTATCTGCTTAAGGTGAGTTTTTTTGGTCTTTTAAAGTCTCCAAAAGATGTTAAGGAAAGCACTGATTGTGATTAAAGAGCTAGCTTCTTTTTTGTAATATGTAGAGGAAATAAATCAAAATTTTTATTAACTGTAATGACTTCAAAAGTTTATAAAGGTAAGTGAATGGATTAAGTCCCATTGACTTTCTGCATTGAAGACTGCCAGATTTTTCTCTCCAGGCTCTTTTCTTACTCAACAATGGGCAAAGAAAAAAGTGAAAGTTCTGGAGGACCTTTACTCTGGCAGTTCGTATGTATTATTCATTGGAAGGCATGATTTCTTTGACCTATAAGTCTCAGATGTCGGGCTATAGAAGGAGGTGCAGTTTGCTGTCATTCTGTAAAGATCATTGTCTGCAGATGCAGAACCTCGTGTGACCTGTTCTTTAGAGACTGCTTGTTGAAATGTTTAGGTAGTAGCAATTCTCATTCCTCTTTCCCAGATACTGTTGTGCAGCAGTGTTTTCCTTTCTTAAATCTGCTGTCCCAGAGAACATCCAGCATCACTATGGCTCAGCCGTGAACAGTAGAGGATCCCTTTGGAGCAGCTGGATCTGGCTGTGATCTGATGTGGAGCAGTGCCCTGTTACCAAATCTTGGCATGTAAGCCCACTACAGAGTAATATCTTCTGATTTTATGACTAGTTCCATCTCCAAATACAAAGGTATTTCTGTTTAAAAAAAAACAAAACAAAACAAAACAAAAACTACGTATGATGTACCCTTTCTGTATTATCAGACTTTAATAGAGCTGACACAGGGTAACTCCTTCACTACAACTGAACCTGACTTCTTTTTCATATCTTCATACCATTTTCAGTCTTTATTTCTGTTATTGAAATTTGTGTCTTTCAAAATGTCTTCCGTCAAGTAAAAGGTCATTTTAAAAACTTTGCTGTACAAAATATGAGATTGACGTATTCTGCTTTTCTTCATAAAGCATGGCTGAAGTGCTTTGACAGGAATTGCAAACATTCAAAACAGTAACAGGCTGCCTTAAGAAAATAAGATCACAGAAAGCTCTTCTGTCTTGAAATCCCTGTCTCCTCTAAGTCAGGGCAGCATGCCATCTTCTGTGGCGTGCGGACCAAAGTGTTTCCTGGAAAGAGAGCAGAACGATTATGCTTCAGGTACTTCCTGTAGAGTAGCATAGAAGAAACTCCAGCTGGTTTGGGATGAACTAGTTTGGGTGCTGAGGAAATGGTTTTACTGGGAATGCTTTTCTTGGAAGAGCAAATTACTTCTTGTTAGATTAATTGTATTAGAGCAACCATGCTGTTACTGGCTCCTGAGCCATCTTAATCTCTCTGTACACTAACTGCAAAAGCTGGCTTTCCTTCTCAGCACTTCACTGTTGTACTGAAGTTATAATCACGTTCTGGTTAGCAATTTGACTTCCTTCTGTCAAGGCACACCTGAACATAGAGCAAAATTTGGAAAACGATTATGTCCTGATAAAATGAACTTTCTGATTTAGAAAGACTGACCATGATAGAGATGCTATTCTATGGTCTTGTCCTGTTCTTAGATGGTTTGCACTTACAGTTGCTAAAGTTGCTAGACTGATAAAATTTGGAAGCTAAACATAAGAACAGATAAATGCCTTCTGGAGAGATTTCATCAGGAAATATCTTTTCACATAATTTTCTTTTAATGAAGGAGGATGGTGGTGTTTCATATGGAATTCTGATTTCTGAACATCTTTTATCTGTTTGATCTGACACTCACCTATGGTCAACCTGTGATTCTTTCCACTAAATGTAAGGAAAAAAATCATCAAGACTAAATACAGGAATTACAGAGTTCAGTCTCATCACCAGGGCAATAAAGCAGAACCATTTCACTGTCTGTCTGCCCCTCCTGTTGCTTTTGATGATGTATGTCCAGTTGGTACCAATACTCTGAGTTTCAGCTGGAATTTCTATCTGGGCTGTTAGTGTTTTCAGGATGGATGAGGAAGGACTGAACAAGTGCAGTCCAAGCAGATTGGATTTGCTTCGTATCCCTACAAATGGTGGGGCTGTGGCAAGCTGCTGCATTTGTGTGTGTGTGAGAGAGAGAGAGAGAGAGAGAGATGTTGTGCATCACACACATAATGCACCAAAACTGCAAGCAATTTTGCCTGCTGCATTTTCAAAGGAGAAGGGAAGAGGATTTCATTTTAGGTATTCACAGATGAAAAGGTATTCCCAATGCTGTAGCTGTGACTCTCAAGGATTGGCCTGAAAAAATAATTGTTTTTTTTTTTCTTTTTGTTCACTGTATAGGTAGATGTGGATCTTTTTTTCCCAAATTAAGATCCAAATTTTTACAGCAGATCTGCAGAGATATACAGGACTTCCAAAGCTGGAGTTGCCTTTGTGAAATACATGTGTAGTATAATAGTAAGTACAATAATATGAAGCAGGATATGCATTATTTCTGTAGTTAAAGGTGTTAATGTATTCTCATAGAGTTTTATTAAATGAAGTAAGAAATTAATGGCAAATAATTGTTATATTTTGTAATGCAGTATGTTGTGTTTGGAGTAGTTGGGTGGAAGGAAGTACTTTTATTTAAGGCAGCTCTCAGGTGCAAAACCGTCTTACCAGAGATGCAGACCAAAAATCTCAAAAGCAACAGAAACCTTTGCTGTTATTAAAAGGAAGTGAACACATTTCAGTACCTGCAAGTAGTCAGAGAGAGAGTGGTGTGGAGGACTTGATCTCTAGTAGGTTTTTGAGCCTGGTCTCAGACTTCAGCTCACTTGTTTGAAAGTCTGTTTTACGATAGCGCTGTCACATCAGCCAGATTTTTATTAAAAAGGAAGAAGCAAAAGCAGTATCTCATGAAGCTTTCAGGTTGGCATCTCTGGAATTATCACACACTATTATTACATAAACACTGAGCAAAGAGTGATAACTCAGCAAACACCTTTTATTTTCCATATTGCTTCTGATTAGTTTCTTGTTTTGATATTGTATGTTACCTTTACCAGCTTTGTACTTCCGAAAGGAAAGAAAGCATTGGAAAGTGTAAAGAGGCACAAGTTAATTTGTCGCTATCCCCTATTTTCTACCTTGCCATATTTCATTCTTGTATTATCTCCATCCACATGTATTTAATTTTGTCTTTTCCCTGGGCAAATAGTAAAATCTACTTTTTCAAACCCAGGTGTACCCAGAGAATATGCTATCAAGTCCCTGATTTTTGTGATCATTTTGTTTCCTGGGAGTTACTTGGGGTTTTTGTTTTTCTCAAGGAGAAGGGAAACATTTATTCCACTTGCCAAGTAGGGAAAACCTAATTACCTTGTTGAACAACCACCTGAATGGTAGTTTACAAGTACTGTTCTATGAGCATGTTTTATCAGCTCTCACCTCTTGACTAAGACTGCAAGAATGGCCACAGAGAGTTTTATGATTTGTGTTTTCAGTTGGCAATAGAAGTAAAGTGAGAGTGATTTGTAACTTCTTTGGAAGTGCTATTGCAAGCTGTTTATAGGTTCAAGAAGAGATCACTGCACAGAAGGAGATGTCTGTATGCAAAACCAGAATTCATTTTTGTAACAGGTGACTTTCATACTATTTCAGGTTGGTAAGTACCTGAATTGGGAATCAGTAGATTCTCAAGAAAGTGTTTCTGAATATTAAGTCAGCACTTTCTCTCCCATCTGACAGTATGAGCAGCTATGGTCTTGTCTTAGGAGCCTCAAAAAAGAATTCAACAATTTGCTTAGTATTTACACATAAATCATTTTTTGGAAAGATTCTATGTTTCACAAAAGTATAAGTCTGTTCTTCAGAACATCAGCCACAAATTCTTGTCTTCATAAGCTAGCCTTCATAGTAACACTATACTTTTTTATTTTTTGCATAGAATATGAAAGAACATTAATTCTTCACCTGAATTGTAATAACTTCTATTTACAAATGTTGGGCTAAAACGAATGGATACTTTTCCTCAGATTAGTTCCAAGATCAGGTATGTCTTTGCATTTTATTGTTTTTCCTTTCTTCTTTTCCTCTCTCCACACCTTTCTGCCCTCTCCCCTTTCTTTCTTACAGCACCGCAGTTCAATTATTACTGAAAATTTACAGGCTCCTTTTTCCCTAAATAATCAAATAAAGCAAATCAAATAAGCCAGAAAAAATCAGAAATATGCCTGGCAGACAGCTAGCCTACTAGTTTTCTTGTGTAATTGAATAATATTTATCAAATAAGCTTTGCATATACTGGAAAAAAAAAACAAGAAAAATTACAGACAATTAAAATACTTATGCCTGTTTTTCATTAGGTATCCACTGTCTTGAAAAGGTAAATGTGCATTAACACTTCAAGAGGAAAATACACAATTTCCTAAATGTTTTTGTGATAAACAGTTCTCTCAAGGTATATTTTGCTAGCATGATAAAAATAGCAATAATTTTATTCTGTTTCCAGTTTATTTTTCTTTATATGTCCAGGATACCATCAATGCATCTCTGTGAAAAGAGTTTTTATCAGTAACTGCAGCATCTGGCACCACCCTCTTGATTGAACAAAGAAATGAAATGCTGTGGGCGGTCAGAAGGGCTACCAATGCTGGTGGGTAAGGACATCTGCACAAAAATAGACTCTTGCTTTCCCATCTGTCATTTGCTAATCAAAATGGTTTACTCCAGTCTTTGGAAGTTGGTGAATTTGGACTCTGCTGAAGGTCACACAAAGTGTTTCATCATCAAAGTCCCAACACAAGAAACCCTTACTTAAAAAAAACAATGTTTTGATGGATTTCTCAGTTACAAGACGATATTCTGTGAGAAGAGTGGTCCCCAGTAGGAACCAGTAAATTACTCTTAAGATTGTAGATGGTTTTTTGAATTAGGAACAACAGGTGGTTGAGCAAAGGTGGTTCCACAGAAAGATGGGAAGAGAAAGTTTCTGCTGGTAGGCTGCTCCCTAGACTCAGGAAAACCACATCAAAAACTTTCTTTCTCAAAATTGGGGAAGAAGAGAGGAGCAGGATTTATTTTGCTTACCAACATGCAAGCAGTGGCAGGTGAGCCCAGCAGTTGGGAAAGCACCACCTCTTCAATACAGCTAGTGGGCATTAGGGTGCAAACTGTAATGTGACTTGAACGACTGGTTCTTATGTAAGTACCCATATGTCAGACCTTGCCTGTTTTATGGCACAGGGATTGCACAAGGCTCTGTTCTATTCTCTATAATGCAGAGATGATCTGAAGACATTTTTAATGATGTCTGCTCAATACAGGTAACTCTTGTGTCAAAGTAAATTCCAAAAACATCCCAAAACAAGCTCAATATATTTCAGTATTCTTAATATTTAGCTGGTGTGGCTGATAGTCTGCACCCATGTCCTGGAGAACCTTGTCAAAAATATTTGCTCAGTTCGCATAAATGTAGTTTCCATTCAAGAATTTCTGCTGGCAATTGATATTCTGGCCCAGTGTATTAGCTTGTTTCTACCTGGAGCCCTGCTGAGTGGGACTCATGGCTGTTGGTTGCTATAGGTTGCTATTAGAACAGTCTAATAGTTTTGTAAGTCAGTAGTTATTTTCACGCAGAAATTCAACTCAGATATGAAATGAGACTTAGCTGAAGGTGGAGGATGATGATGGGTTATGAAATGTGGTGCCTGAAAAGCTTCTAGATCATAATTTTTCAAGTCTTGTGTATTAAAATTAAAATAGCATCTATTTTAGTCCTACCAGCAAACAGCTTGCCAGTAAATACTTGCTGAAATTCTGGGTGTTTCAAGAGCCAAATCTGGCCATAAGCAGCAGGAAGAAATCATTGTAAAATGCAGGGAAGACAGCGCAGGTGCTTCTGCTGTATTGTTTAGCAGGAGACACCCAAATGCATTGCAGAAACCTGACCGTGCTGCAAGGTGAACTGAGATAGGAGTTTTTCATCTTTTTCTACTTGAGGAACCAAAATGCCTTATTTTTGGACTGGGTCACCCCAGGTTTGTTCCCCACTGTTCCACACTGTCACCTCCATAAGATGAACAGACTGATAACTGTCCCATCTGTTAAAGGACATTTATGCCTTTGATTTGATTCTATGAATGACTGTTTTTTCATCCTTATATTCATTTACCACACAAGTGAGACTGCAAGAATCAATAATAGCTTTTCAAAATACTTCTGCAGAATGTTCCTGTTGACTAAATTTTGTTAGTTGTTCACCTTGTCATAAAGTAAATCTGCTTGTTAACGGAGAAACCATTACCGTAAAGTTAAAAGAGCTTATTTTGTGCTGTGCTAAGATTGCACTGAATTGCATCTCTGGAATAAAGCACAGATGTGGTTTCAGATTTTAGACTGTGACTGTTAAAAATGCCGTGTTTTCCCTGGCCCCTTTTTCATTTGTAACCCAAGTACAAGAAGACAGCTAATGACAAAATGCTGGAAGGTCCACCATTAACTGCACAGGCAGCAGTGACTTGCCTCGTATTACCTAGCTCTCTTCACTGCACAGATCTGATAGTTCCTGCGTGCACAATGCGAGCAATTACTGGAGTTGCTGAACTCTAAGAAAAATGCTTATCTTCTGAAATGGCAGCTCTGCCTTCTTCTGGTCTGAAGCCCAGATGTTAGAAATAGGCAGATCATTTTCTGTTCTCCGATTTCTCTCATAACAGAAATCTTGATCTTGGTTTCAGAAATTGTTACCATATCTTTAAAGCGCATCGCATTTATCTGTCAGTTATCACTGCGTGGTCTACAGATAGAAAATGACATTTGTAGTTTATATAAATGGAATTTACTCATTTTAAGTATATTTATGCTTAGCTTGCTTGCTTGATTTGCTTTTTATTCCTGCATTAACTCTTATTTGAAGAATGTATGTGATATTTAGGGAAATTTTAATGATTTCAAAACCATTTCAATATTTAGATGCATCTAAAATATTTTTTATTAGCCTTCTGTGGATGAAGACCTTTAAAATGCAATTGGTGTCAGCCACAATGCCTTGTGAGTCATTCTGGGCTATTAAGAAGCATACTAATCATTTCTCAAGCCAGCACTTTTAAAGCAAAGTCCTAATTCATGGACTATTTGGAAAATGTTAAATAGTAGAATAGTCCTCATCAGCAGACTAATCCCACTGTAAGCAAAGTGGATTACCTTTGTCTGTAGGCACATCTATGTATCCTTATCACTTTGTTTTCTGCACTCTGTTCTACTGTGCAGTCTGGTTCCTCAGCCAGTCTTCATATTGAATTTTGCTGAAGTAGTTATAATAGTTATATAATTATTTATAACAGTAAATATTAACTCTGCAGTTCATGAAATCGTTCATAAATGTACTTCCATCACCTGGCTAAAGGATGCAGCCCCATTGCCTTGGGCTCAGAAAATACTTCAGAAAAGTGTGCATGCTGTTAGTGCTCCTTTTTTAAAGTGAAAAGCAGCAACACAAAAAGAGAGTGATTGTCAGAATCAGACAGAGGAGCATCACTGTCCTCAAGGTGATACAGATTTCTCCATTCCTCTCTCTGGATTCCATCACTATCTAGACTGCAGGTCAGATGCTGACTTACTCTGCCTCTGGTTGATCTGTCATCTGCTGTTGTACCTGCTCTTGAGAGCATATTTTCTTGCCAGCCATAGCTGTCGCTGAAGTTTTCCTTTTATCCTGTAGTTACGTCTCGAAGAATTAGGGACATGTTAATAACTGGTACGATGTTTCCTAGAAACACTTTTTATTTATGGTTACACTTACACAGTTACACAGTTTGCATGAATGCTATACAAAAGATGCTACCAAAAAAGCCAACAATTTGATGTTTTTTTGACTTTCCCAATCAATTTTTCAATGTGTTGTGGCTGTTAAGGAATTCGGCCTCCTGCCCTCCTGCCTTTCACCCTCAGAAATACCTTCAACTCCTCAGAAACGTACTTGTGGCAAAGGAGACAGAATGCTTAAATAATGCTTCTGGACATTTTTCCAGCTGCTCTGTGGGTTCATCTTCGTAACCCACACAGTGAGGTTCATTGTAACCCACCCTCACCATAGCTGTTCCAGGGATGTAGGTACGTGTGGATTCTATCAGAACATCGGGGTACTCTCTGTAACAATGTTTGGCTATTTATCATGTAATATGGAAACGTTTCATTTCAATTAAACATCAAGATATAAGACTTCTAGGGAGATTGCATCACAGATCAAAATTCATGAAGTAATTTTAACAGGAAAGAATTAAAACGTAGATATTTGCAGCAAACATGCATTGGGTGAAGTAGGAAAATTATTGTTGTGCAAAGCTTGGGTTTGTGTAAGTGCTTTTCTAACACAGAACTTGTCAACAGAAAAATAAGCAGAAAAATGCTCTTTATGTGCTCTTTGCTATAGACTGCATCATGAGGATGTAGACTGTATTATTTATTCCAAACAGTGACCAGTATTTAGAGTCTAAAAGGGGACATAAAGCATGGGAAAAGTTTCTTAAGGGTAACAAAGTGTTTTTCAAATAGTGTTAATGCCAACCTGTCTGTGTTTTGGCACATTTAACTTCCTGTTGTGATGGTACGACTGAGCCTAAGTAGCTACAAAACTCAAATATAAGGAAGGAGTGTCATGTGCCAGCAAGTTCTAACTTTCAAAATACAATATTTCTTCATCTGCAGTTGGCAAAAGCAACCAATAGCCATGAAAGGGCTGTAGCTCAGTGAGGAATTAGAGGGCTCTAAAGTCAGCTTCCACTTCCAAACTAATATTTATCCTTGTTGACATAGCATATGAAAATACAGTAATAATCAAGTAGTGCTGTGGGCCTCATTCCCTCTAGCTGGAGGCACTGTTGGAATGCTATTAGTATCTCATCTGATAAATCTGAAACCAGCTCATAGAAGAGTTCCATTTGTATTTTAAAATGTCCAATTATGCCAGTATTTCTGTGATTAATACACAATAGGGCTGTTTACACAAATGAGAAATGTTCTACATTTCGAGCCCTCCTTTTAATACAGATTTGGTTCACAGCTTACTTTTTCAAGCAGGCAGCCGCAGTTGATCTGACTCAGAGGGACAGTAATAGATGGCAGGAGGAAGGAGAAGGAAAGGATCCTGCTCCTCGTAACCCCTGCTGGCAACTGTGACATGTGGGCTTCCTGAGCTGAGGAGGATTTCTATGTAGTGAGACCTGATGTTTTCATTAGCATTAGTTTTCATTAACTTTTCTAACCACTTTTAAACCTGTCCAGGCTTTATATAGTTTACAGATTCATGGCTTGATAATTAATTTCTTGTGGCGCAGGAAATCCATCATTTCCTCTTTGTGATTTTCTCTGTCTTCATCATGTTCCCAGTCCCTTTTTCCAGTGCAAAAGACAAAAGACCTTTTGCATATGTGTGTCTTTTACCTTCGTTCATCTCAGCCGTTGGTACTTTTATTGTTATTCCTTCTGTGTTTGTGGGGAAGCAGTATTCCAGTACAGATGGATTCAGGGAGTTAAGGTCCTTATTTTGTTTCTGGTAAGCTCTGAAATCCTCCCAGATGTTTAGACTACTACCTAGCATAAAGTTGCTATTAGTAAAAAATAAAAAGTAATTCCAAGATTTTTGCAAGTTTCACTCTATGTTATCAGTGCTAAAACCCCAAGCACACTGCTTGGAAATTACTGACGTAGAACTTAGTCTGCCATTTTACTGACCGTTTTTATTCAGTGTTATGAAGTCTTTTTCCAACACTGTGCTGATTACTTCCAATTTCACTCTTCCATTTCAGGTTAGAGGACAAACCAGCTCCCCTTTCCATGTGCTCTCTTCCACATCAGTTATGCAAATACTAGAGCAGCCCCATCAATGATCTGTGGGGGATTCTGTTAACTGATAGACAGGTTTTAAAAGCCAATGGAGGGGTAGGATTGCCTTCACCAGAGCAACAGTGTCTTGAGAAGCCCAGAAACAACACAAGTTTAGGTTACAGGCTGGTATGCAAATGTTCTAATGATGAACTTTTGATGACTGCAGTCAATTTCTGTAATTAAATCAGAACAGCTAAAAACCTTAAGGGGAGACAGAAGACTGCTGTTTAGATGAACGCAATCTTACAGAACACTGAAATGCCTAAACGCTACTTGCATTCAGTGCTAGCTGCCCATCAGGCTCTCCTTACCCAACACAGGCTAAGACAGCAGTCCTGTGCAAGAAGCAACAGTTTTTCACGTGTGAAGGAACCAAAGGTGAACACGTTCATGAGCAGGGCTGGGGTTGTGTTGCTGTGCCAGTGGTATTTGCCAATAGCTTGACAACAAAGTGTCACAAGAGTGGTACTAGAAAACTCAGCAGCTGGCTCTGAATTGCTCAGCTGCTCTGAATGATACCTATGGACACTTACTTTGTGTTTGAGCTCCCCTTTTCACATTTTGTTACCGGGTCTTACACATTTTGGTCTGCTCTGTGCTTGCATTTGGAAAGCACAGCTGCCGCTCTGCCCAAAACCTGGCTTAAGATAGGGTAGTTCAAACTGCTGTAAAGCACACAAGCTTATTTGATTTTTTTGCTTTAAGAATGGAGCCGGAGAAAATAGCTTTAACAATATAGAAGGTGGTGGATGCCTCTGGAAAGATCAGTGCAAAGGAAATACAAGTATCACTTTTATGGAAATATAATTACACTGAATGTTCCTTATTTGTTCCAGGAGCAGCGCAACTGGGTGTGATGGAGCAAAAGGCGTTTGTGACTGATGTGAGCGAGGTAGGCAGCTCTGCACTAGGAAAGGCATTGTCACAGAAACGATCTGCATAAGGTAAGTACAGCCTAATGTGCTGCTGAACGCTCCATCAGCCAAAGTAATACCGCAGGTCGCTAAACAAGCACAGAAAACAATCTCTTTTTGTTACTTCTTTCTATCAGTCTAAGCATGGAGATCACGCTATGAATGCCCTCTTAAAAGAGCCCCAAGGCCTGTGCAAAAGCAATCTGATAAAAACTAGAGGTTTGGCAGTGCACAGCAAGGAGTTATGAGATAGCATGAGAAGACTTAGCAGAGTTCCAGCCAGTTCCCCACACAGCTCCTTGTGCCTTGCTCTGCAACAGCCGAAGCATTGGTCTGTTATAAACATCAGTCTGATCCTAAATCCAAGACACAGCACCATATCAATATTAGGAAAAAATTAACTCTATCCCAGCCCCGATCATGAGTTGCTAAGTTCTGTTTCACTCCTACAGAAACGGTTTTCACTATGGCAGTTTGCTCCTTCCTTTCTTGCCTCCTCTCTATCGAAATATGACTTTGATGATTAGAATGATGCAAATTAGAGATGATGGGTTTACTGGATTCCTCACACACTCACAGTACTGCATCTTCATGTGTCCCTACAAAAATGACTTGTAACAACAGGATATTGGGAGAATTGGTTGGGGAATACCTTGTTATAGATTAGGGCAGTTTCAGAGGCTCACGTAGGCCAAGTTGTGTTTTGTACTTTTGGGATAGGAAGATCCTCTGTTGTAGACATTTCTTTCCTGCAGCAGTGCAGCAACCTCTCCTATACAGCAGCCTGAAGTGCTGCCTCATTCTCCTTTGGGCTTTGTTCCTTGGACAAAATGGACAAAGATCTCTTGCAATGCTTTCTGCCCCCGCAGAAATATAGGGATTTTAGGTATAAAATAAGATCAGAATTGCTCAGAGGCAATGCAAGAGTAGTCCAATGGCTAACAATAAAATCCAAATAACAACAGAAAATTGACAACCCCCTAGTATTTGCTAATAGAGGAGTGTCACTGCTAAATATGCCTTGTACTGCTTGTATCCATCGGGATGCAAATGTGGTGGTGTTTCTTTTCTTTAAGTTTATGCAAAGACCTGAAGAACTGAATTAACTCTCTGCAGCCTGAAAGGCGCAGCAATCTTTTTCTCTTCAGCCCCATCCTTGTCTCACAGCTATTTTAATAGTGATGCTGGGATCCCAGCCTTTGACAAGCACCATAACTTTTCAGGCACCACTGCATAGCGTATGCACTCAGAGAAAAGAAACGTTCAGGTAGTGACCATAGTGACCTCATCTTAAAAACAACAACAAAAAAAACACTCCCACCAAAAAGAAATAAAACAAGTCAGGAATCTCAGAGGCTGCCAGATGCTGTCATCTTCTGCAGTCCTGCTATTTATTTCACTTGGATCCCTAATGTGCAATACCTCTGCCCTTTAACCCGTGAATGGGGCTGTGGAGATCTCCGCAGCACCACCTTCTGCACAGTAAGGAGACAGAAGAGATGATGCTGGCCAGAAATACGCTCATCCTGAGAGCACAGTGTGGCACCGTGCCACACAAAATCATTGCTCCAGAAAAGAGAAAAAACGCTCTTCACCCCGTGCCAAAGAACCAGAGCATGTGCAGACGAGTAACAAAATGGAGTGTGCTAAAAGAGCAGGAAATAAGTTCTGGGTTTCTTACTCAGCTTTCTCCCTCCTCTAGATACATTCTGCCTTATTTTTGCTGCACATCTTCACAAGACTTTTTTTTTTTTTTTTGCATTGCTACCACCTAATGGTCATAATGTCTTTGCCTTAACTCTAATGGCAGCAATTTTGTCCCACTCATATACAGATTTCAGACAGAAATCATACAATAGCTTTTGTCTTTTTATCAAAAAAGAATAGTAGTAAAATACCAAAATTACCATCAGACTTCCATCACCCCTTTTTCCCTCTTTCTGGGGGGGTGAAGTCTTTCTTCCCTCAGTTTTCCTGAATTTCTAATGATGAAGGTTATGATTAATTTGCAGACAGAGTAACCCTTTTCTGAATGCACGCTGCTCAATAAATGAACAAGCTGCTTACAGTAATTAAAGTAATGTCATCCTGTGCTCAAATTGCTTGTGCTAATAGGGCTAATTGGCAACAGCCAGCATTAAGTCTGATTAGTCATACGTGTCTAATGTCATCACCAGTGCCTATAATTTTCTACACAGAGGGAATTTCACATCTGTTTTAAATCACTTGTCTGTTGTCTGCATTGGTTTTCTTTCCTATGTCATTTTATCAAAGATTATTTTATTACAGTAAATGATAGAAAAGTTTATTTTCTTTTTTGAAAGTGAAGAAGCGCACGGTGGAGAACACGACGTTAGGGACGGCCAGGGCACTCATTCTGAACTATCTGATTTCAATTAAATTGATAGGAGTGGATTTTCCTCCTTTAGCATATAGCCAGCTCTCCCCTCCTACAGGATGTGGATCAGCTGCAACAGAACATCCATCTAATCAATTTAGGCCACAAGCTGGATTTCCCAGTAGAGCAGATGAGCCAAAAGATCCATTTAAATTTATTTCAGAAATTTGCAAAGAATTACCTTCAGGATCACAAACTTCCCAGCTTTTGCCCTCTTCATTGCAGGCAAACTTTCGGCTGTGAATAGAACTGCTGATGTTGAATCGATCCAAACAGACAGGCATGATATCGTCAAGAATCCAGCGCTGCAAAGCGCAGCTTCAGAGACCAAGGTTTCCTGCTGCCCTTCTTGCACAACTCTTTCCTATTTGGAGATTCTCCCTTCCTTTACCTACCACCGATTTCTACAAGTGCTTCTCCTAAGCTGCACTTAGTGGATGGCTGGAATTGACACGGCTTTCTGTGTTCTCTGTTCAAATTATTACAATTTTTGAAAGCATGAAACTGTCCTCAAATTCTGTAGCTGACTTTTACGTGTATTCCTTAGCTAATTTTCCCTAGCATCCAGTTTTAGCCAACATAATTTTATGGCTACACGTGTGCCAATCAGACATTGGACTCAGCCTTTCTCAGCAAAGACTACAATTAATCAAAATATGAAAAATATGAATAATCAAATCAAGTTAAAAATCACTTTTTCTTTCTTTCTTTCTTTCTTTTTTTAAATAGATTTGCTGTAGTGAGCTTTTGGTTTAGAAGAAAAAGTTGGGTGTAAGGCAGTGCACCCCTACAGACAGCTAATGATGTGAAAAGGCAGAAGATGCTAAACCTTTTTCTGTCTCATTTTAATGCTTCAGATACACGTAACAATGGCTCACTTATTATTCATTACATGTGCCCCCTTGATTTATGTAATACATCGCACCGATACCAAACTAAGAATACTGACACAGTGTGCTTTTTCAATTGCTATCAGAACAGTATTTTACCCAGAACTATTAAAAATAGTCAGTCAATAAAATTAATGCTCTCCCTCTACAGCCAGAGGCAAAGTACTGGCTCATAAAGCAGGAAGAACGAAGTGAAATTCCATGTTTTGATTGTACAGCACGGTCCTGAATCTAACTTCTGCCACACCTTGAAAGTAAAAGAGTGTGCCTAAAACAACATTACCCAGACTGCTCAATGCCATAAAAGCCAGAGCTACTCGTAGTGGAAGAGTAATTAGAAGCTGGAATCAGCTTATCTGTCCTCCCAAGTGTAATTATTTTCTTTAGAGTGTAGAAAAATCTTATCTCTAGCACTGCTCTCTTATGTCCTGCAAGAAATTAAGGATCAAGCTCTTACACAGAAGGGAAAGAAGGCTCTTTTACCATGAGCAGCATTGGGCAGTACTGACATAGCAAGTGCTGCCTCTCCTTCATTTCTTGCAGGAGCAAGTTTGTTTCAGTGTTTAGGTACTCTGCTATTTACTGCAATGTTTTATCAGTTTCATCTACAGCCACTACAAATGGCAAGGCAGCAGCAAGCAGTCCTTGCACAGATTCATACCACGATGGCAAAGGCCCAGTGTGTCATCTGCACGAACAGCTAGAAGTCACTGTAACGGAGTAAGAACACTCCTAAAGATCAGCAGGCAACAACTCAGGTGAGTTAACTTCCTTTGGATTGCATTAGATATTCCTTAGCCATGTGGAAGTTTGTTATACCACAGAGACCCTGCCTTTCCCATACAGAGTGCTAGAACAGTTCATATCTGTGCAATACCAAATTCAAAGCCACACAGTAAACCTGTTTGTGAATTGCTGGTGGCAGCTGTTGGAAGAGCTAAATCAATCATCCCACCAACGTGTCATGAACAGAAGCATAACTGTCAATAGATTAACAGCACCAGTACAAGTTTATAGATGAAGTCAACATGATGATTCAGTCACCAATACTGGAAATCCCATCTCTTACCTAAGTTTCTGAGAAGCCATAAACACATGAAGAAAAAGGCTCAAGTATTTCATGCCTACAGAAAGCACAGCAGGACCCTCTTTGATGAAAGTTGAAGTTGGGCCTCAAAAACTGGAGGCATCAGTTCCTCCTCTTCCCCAAATCCAATTACAGCCGTGCTGGCCAGACACCAACACAAGTGTCAACATTTGCAGGGACAGAAGCTAAAGAACATTTTGTATTACTGAAGTACTTCAGTATGGGCTGAATCATATGCACAAGTGTCTCTTCCTCCTAGGATTGTAGAGCTGAGTGCATTTAGGATATGCACCACTTACATGGCACCTGGCTGCATAAGAAAATGTACTTTACTCACACATGTGCGTGTATCTCCATGTACACAGACTAAAAGTTCTCTGATGTGCTGGGGTATATTGCATGAATTGGGTAAATAACAACAACTAACTTGATGTCAGCTTCCACATCACAAGTACAGAGAATTGTCTTTAGAGTACTTTAAACCAGACATACCAGTGCCAGCATTAAAAAAAAAAAAGCTGCACACTCAGTTTGCCCTTTAGCTGCTCAAGCTTCTTAATTCTGAGGAAACTACAGCAAAATGGAAGGATGTGATTCTGTAGATACATCAACATCCCCAAACTCCTCTTTATAACCCCTTCCATTTTGAATGTTGGCTGACCAACATGCACAAGTCCTGTACGGCTCACTCCAGAGCAGAACTCTTCTGTTCTCCAGTAAACTCTCCTCATTTGAAAGCACATCTCAATGATGGTCTAGCAGGGAATACAGAATAACCACCTTCATCCTTTTTTTTTTTTTAAATAATCTTTTAAACCAAGCAGCATTAGCAAGTGATTAATAAGCGTCTTTATAAGGACACGTAATTGATACAGAGCTCTGGAGAAACAAGGTCACCTCAATCTCAGCAGACACGGCCTCTGGGCTTATGTTAGCTATTTCATCTCATTGTCTGATACAGGAACCATTAGATGACAGTCAACACTTCAGATCTTCCAGTACGAAAAACAACAACAATGAGTGATTTTCCCACCACTCATTTTTGTTTGGCACAAGGAACAACAGGTTTTATTTGTCAGGTATACATCATCAAGCTTCAGGACCTCAGCAGATGAACCAGGTTAACCTACTACCCAAAATGAAATTGTGGCCTCTAACAGAAAACTGGCTTAGATAAAAAGGGGAAGGGAAGAACCTACCATTAGTCACGTGCATTTCTTCCAATCAGCAAAAGCAGAAAAAGTCACACATCCTGTAAATAAGAGGTTCAGGTTCCTTTTGAGAAAGACGAGGCAACACTACGACTTCCTTGAGAATCAACCACCAATGTGATCATTCAGACTAAAACAGTGAGACAGGCAGCTCAGTCTGAGCGATTGGGCAAGCTGCATCTGAGAAACCTGACTCAGCAGCTAGACAAGGTTCAGGTGACTGCACATCACATGCAGAACAGATAATCGTGATTTATGTTAAGAGTCTTCAGTATCCGAATTTCAAGATGCAGAGAACACAGATCGCAGAAAAGGCACCCACCAGCACTCATAGGAAATAAGAAATGAGAAATGAGAACACTCCTCTTGAAGGAGGTCTTGGAATCAGGATTACATTATTTTAGCTAAGGCCAGGCTGTCGGACTAAAGGTAATCTGAGCTCATGTTGCTCAGTACCTGCTGATTCAGAGAGAAAGAAATGCATCAGACAGTAACCCTGACTCATCTACAGGAGAGAGAAATGTTGAAAAATACTACTAGCTGAGCACAGTTCTCCTCACTGCTTTAGCCTGTAGCAGAAGAGGAAGAATTACGGTGGGACTTCCCGTGATGTCACAAAGACAAGTTGAATGCTTCTATTTTTATGCTAAGAATGTTTTTAATTCTATGGGCTTATGCTTTCTCCATACCGTAACCTTAATTCCAACAATAATGGCACAGAAGGATGTCAGTGCCTTATTTGATAGAAAATAAGATGCAAAAAATAAGACAGAACGTTAAAAAAAAAGCTGCTTGCTCCCACATTCTCTTTGAATTTCCATTCTGATTTTGAGAAACAACGCACACGTCTGCAGTAGAGCCTGAAGCGCTCATACTGCATTGCACTACTGGCCAGAGGTGATGTTGAAGTATATTAACAGCCAGTTATATACAGTAAATACTTCCTAACTGTATAAAGTATATGTCAAAACAAAGTAATCTTCAAGGAAATTAAAACTAATTTCAACAGGAACATAAGTTCATTATGAAAAATTTATCTTCCTACGTCTTTCTTACCTCCTCATGGGAACGTCACCGTGAGCTTTCACAGCGTGCAGCTGACAATGCAGAACAGTTTGAGAGGCAAAGACAAAAGCTTACTAGCCGAAACTCCACTCCAAAGCATGGTTAAAATGAGTTGAATTTACAAGGACTTAATGAGATTACTTCAGCTGTCCTGCTGTCAGTGAATACCTGTCAACTCACTCAACAGACGGCATCATATTATTAATCAAGCTTATACCTTTATTTCAATGGAATACCCTTGCTGAAAAACTTCAGACACGGCTTATACTTTTAACAAAGGTTTGCACTGATGTAACCAATCAAGGTGGCGAGATTCATCCATTCTACCAGGTAACGGAGACAGGTCTGACAGGGCTGGGAGCTACTGCACATACTGCTGGTCTGGCAATGCCTGTAGAAGTCCTTTCATATGCCACAGTACCCCCGTTTTCAGTGACTGCACCTGCAGTCATTGCCACAAGCACCGTGGCGTTCAGAACAAGGTTGCAGTAAGCTTGCTACGACTGGCTAACTGCTACTGGATACTGCAGAACTGCAGGAAGTCAAGCCCATACAGAGGTACTGGACGTTACTCCGTCAAGTCAAATTTGATTGAACAGATTGGGTAACAGAGCCATTGAGATGATGCAGGATTTCCCTTTACTGCCAAAGCTTTCCCTTCAAGTTCAGGGTTTCCAGTACAAGTGATATACTTGTGGGCAAAACATACCACAGACCTCAGAACAAGCTCGCTACATCGAATCTAGTTTAAATCCCAGGTTTAACATACCTCCCAACTTAACAGCAAGTGCAGTAGCTCAGAATCAGACCACTAGAATCAGCATAAAGTAGGTTGGCTTACCTTCTCTCTAGCACACCTTTTAGACAGAAGGCAGACTACGCTGACGGAGCAATCTGCATTTACCACCATCACATCTCTACTCACCTGAAAGCACATGGTAGGAATGGAGGGAAAGGAGACAGAACACTCCTTTTCAATTTTGATCTCCTGAATGAACTAAGTAGCAAACTGTCACATCAGTTCACTATCAGAAGGAAGGACAAACTACAAGGTTTGGCTGAACTGCAGGCAGCAGGGCTGAAATACAGTTAATGACTGACACTGTCAGTACCACCTTCACTCCTCCTGGCTACGTAAGAAGTGACGGCACCTTGCTAGCGAGGGACAAATCACTTCACTGGAAAGGACAGGAGGAGACACCACACTGCTCTCCTGCACGAGGGATTTACAGCTGCACTGCAATTCCTGCACTGAAGTGAACACTTCTGTTTCCAAAACAGATAAGAAAGTGATGAAAGGACAACTGCCAACCTCACCATTAATAGATAACACTTTCAGAAAAGGTGCATCTGGAAGCAATTCTGCAATTAAACAACATAAACGGACCCAATTCCATCATTTATAAGGTACAAATAGAAAGGCAACTATAGTTTCCAAGTCCTTCTATCATAATGTTTTCTTTCTCCATTTTCACACAGCTGATGAGTTTGCAACAAGTTGCTACTAAAATCTTCTGAGGAAAATGCAAGACAGGAAGCAGTAAGTGCAATGCCATTGGACTTTTTTCCTTTTTTTTTTTTTTATTTCTGTATGCAATGTAATGTTTAGGCACGTTGCTTGGGACGCTTTCTAAAATAAATCATTGGCCATTGTTTAGAGTATCCTTTTGGCTTTAAATACTGGTCAGGAAAACAAAGGATGTAAAAATAAATGAATATAATTATTACAGAAATAAAAATGGATTTGCATCTAAAAGTGCAGGAGGTGAAGTACTTTAACCCTTTCACCAGACAATGTGGCAATATACAGAATATTGCTTCCGTTTGTTTGAGAAGGCTGTTGGAATTGTACACTGACATAGAAAATTATAAATTACACAGAATTAGTTTCCATAATCACTATATATATATACACAAACCAGCTGCGAAAAAAAACTGGTTTAGAACATACAAATGAAAGCCTCACACAGATCAGTACAGTGAAAGTAACAATTAACATGCTCTGCTGCCAAAATGGGTATTAAAAGAACACTATATACTTTTAAAATGCGTGTACTGTAATTACATTAGCAGCACGGGCATTTCATGTACTGGACTTGTCTAAGAGGATTACAGCGTTTTAAATACGCAGATTGTTCTGAAATGTTCCGTCGTGTAATGCTGGGGATTAAAGTCAATCTTGGTGAACGGGTTAAAAGGCAGGTGAATCACTTAACACAACAAGCCATGTGCACCTCAAATATCCTAGTGTTTCACCTGTAAGGTATTGTTTCAAGCAAACAAGACTTAACAGAACATATGGCTTTACAGTAACATCAATTTGTCAACTAAGTCGTAGCAATAAATACTTAAAATCTCTACCAATAGACTTACATTTTTGATCTGTCTTAAACAATACAGAAAACAATTACCAATTAAAAAAACCTGCTGTAAAATGTTGAACACCAAAATTCTCATTTAAATCACTTCTGTAAGCTAAAACAACCAAAATAACGTTTATAGGGCATTTCAGTTCTACAATTCTTCGCCAACCTGGAAGAAACATGAATTTCAGGTGTGGGGTTTTTTTTTTTTTTTTTTTTTTTGGTTGGTTTTTTTTTTTTTTTTCCTTCTTTTTACAAGGTGAAAAATGTATGAAAAACTGCTAAATACTTTGGTCACACTAATCATCAAATAGTTATGTCTCAAATACATTAGATTTGTGTATTCACTTTTTTTTTTTTTATAAAACTATTCTTACAGCCATTTTTAACTATAGTAACACTACTGTCATCATTACATGGGTGGCAGGATCTTATTTCACAGGCCACCCGTTAATTAGAACAATACAATATAAACATACGCAAAAATTATTGGTATTTCTCAATGTGCAATATTTTTACACTTATGAATTTCTGTACAATGTCTTAAAATCTAGAATATAAATGTTGCTGGTCCTGATCCCTTGCAAAATTAGTGCAGCAGTAACTGGCTTCAACAGGCTCTAGATGAAATCCTCAAGAAACGCTCAAACCCCCGGGTATCAGTTCATTTTCTTCAGCCAAGGCAGCAGACATCACATATCATACAGGGCCATTAACAGATGCCTCTCCTAAAAGGGTGCGTTGATCAGTCCTAAGAGGCCAAAAAAGGATGTAAGTGTACAAGAAACAGGTGGTGTCATTTTTATTTTTCCCCACATGCCCAAATTTGCAGACAATGTTAAATTAACAAAACTAGGAAGAGCTGCTGAATTCCTCGAGGTGGAGTCTCCTTGCAGAGAGATCTTGACAGATTAGAGCACTGGAAAAATCACCAACCACATGGAGTTCAACAAGAGCTGGATTGCCCACCTGGGATCAGTCAGCCCTGGCTGTATATACAGACTGGGGAAAAAGAGGCTGGAGAGCAGCCCCACAGAAAGGGCTCTGTTGTTCTGGCTGGTGGCAAGTCGATGTGAGCCAGCAGCGTGCCCTGGCTGCCAAAGGGGATGCGCCAGGCCCAGCACTGCTGCTGAACAACGGAGGCTTGTCCCGCTCTGCTCTGCACAGTCTCGCCTCCAGCACTGCATGCGGGTGCCACAATGCCAGGAGGACATAAAACTGTCAGAGGGCATCCAGAGCAGGGCTATGAAGGCAGTGAAAGGTCTGGAGGGCAAGGTGTGAGGAGCGGCTGAGGTGCCTGGTGTGCTCAGCCCAGAGCAGAGGAGCTGAGGGGAGGCCTCACAGCAGCTCCTCACAGGGAGCGGAGGGCAGCGCTGAGCTCTGCTCTGTGCGACAGCGACAGGGCCTGAGGAAATGGCATGGAGCTGTGACAGGGGAGGACCAAGGGAGTGTCAGAGGAAGGTTCTGCATCAGAGGGTGGTGGGCACAGCCCCCAAGTTCAAGGAGCATTTAGTGCTCAAAAATACAGTTTAGTCCTGGTACGGAGTCAGGAGTTGGACTCTGTGATTTTTGAGAGTCCCTTCCAGCTTGGGAAGTTCTGCTCAGACAAATTAGCAAAGGCTGTGACATTTCTTCCAATCTACTGATTTCTACAGTTCGGATTACAAGGTTTGAACATTCGCCACACAGGGAAGCCAAAACCCACAAGTTTTCCTGTAAGTATAATTAAACTTTTCAGAATAGAATTCCACAGAGCAAAAAGGGGGAACGAGCTAATTACAGGCTCGTCCTTTTCTGGAGCTCTTTCTATCTCCTTTGGCATAGCCAAAGTAACTCAGCAAATGTGCTTCATCTTTATCGAGTAACTGAATGGTTTCTGGAGCTGCTGATCTCTCCCCTAGAGAACCACCGATAAATAGCACGCTTCTGAGAGTTCTCCACAGCTTACTCTGTTAGGCAAAAGATGACACTGGGATACTTCAGATTGCATTTGAAAATAAGCAACTAAGACATAAACAGGGAAAACAACTGCTTTGGTGATTAAGTTTACAAGCTGCTGTTTCACTAATACTTTGAACTTCAGACCATCACTATGAAAGGTTGGTAAGTATGGAAGAAGTGAAAGAGCAAACCTGTAAAAGTGAAAATGGTAATAGTATATACAGTTCTAGATAAGCTTGGGAAAAGATGTGAGCTCAGCTGCCCCTGTGTAATGCAAATGAAGAGATCAAATCAGCTGTGCATAAAAATATTAAGAATTGCAAGCAACAAAAGCAAAAAAAATCTCAGCTTCCATTTAGCGCACGTCTACTGAACACATGTGGAGTTTCCTTTAAAGAATATAAATACCTTTTGGAACTGCATGAGAAAAGTTACCTGTAACTCCTGTTCTCTGATGGTGTACATCACAGAGAAGCCACTCTTGGGTCCGTGCTCTACATGCACATGACCAGCAGGAGTCCCCCTAGCTAAGTCTTTGGCTGCTAAGCACTAAAAACACTTTTTAAGAAAAAATATGTACATATTAGATAAAAAGACAGACAGCACTAGACAAAATTAAACACTTTTTAGAGAAACCTGTAAGGTAGGAAACAAGTGCTGCACAGAGAGGAGTTCTGACAGTTCAGAAGGCAGTAAACTACAAACTAATTGGAAAACATTCACGACAGAAAAGGGCTCCTAGCAGAGAGTATTATTGTGGCCACCAGCCAAAGACCTACCTAGGGACTCCTCCCGCCAGTCACACATGCATGGAGCCCCAAAAGTACAATTCAGTTTATCTAGACATTTGTTCTGTACGTATATGAGGATCTGCTGTGACAGTCACCTTTAGAGAAAGCACTGAGCTGCGCCATTCAATGAAAGGAGTTCCTCGAGATTCTCTGTAACCCAAAAGCAATCTGAGGAACTGCTGGCTCTGAGAGCCCTCTGTCGGTTAAGGCGAGCATCTTTACTCAGCAGGCAATCACCTCAGAAGGCAAGGACCCACACACTTCTTTCTTCCCTGTAACGCAGTGCTTAGCACTGCTAGAAATGCTGCATCGATAAAAACAGCACCTCTAGATAAAAAGGGGCCGTGGAAGATGGAGTTTCTGTGTTTCCCCCTTTAAGTGGGCAGTTTCCTTCCAACTGGAATCAATTTCTTGATGAAGTTTACTGAATGCAGAGTAGAAAGATCAGGCTTACAAAAAAACAGATCAATATTTCAGTGTAATCTCAGGTCCTGGATGCAAAACATACCCACTCAAACTAGTCCCAGACAGACAGAATCTCTGATTTTGAATAGGCTTGCACCTTTTTTTAGTTTCCATAAAGTATAATCAAAAACATTCACTAGAGTTCTGTTGCATTATATGTCAAGCTATCTTCTGAATCTCAGCTTATGAAAGCTTTACATTTTGTCTTGCCTAGAAAGTGAAGAGTGTAATAGTGCCTACAGTCTTAAAAAATGACTAATACTTGTAGAACATTTCTGTGAGAAATACCAAGTTCCTCTAATAATAGTTTTATATCTATGGAAGTTGAAAAATACCTTTTAAACTATTGCAACTTAATATTAAAATACATCTTTGTGTATTTATATATTCAGAATCCTAACTCCTGCTTACACTGCACAGCAAAAACAGTCCCTGGAACTGCTTTTAGTTAAGCAAAATCCTCCCTCCCTTCAGAATATGCTTGCTGTCAGAACTCCTGCAGCTCCCCAAAAAGAAGGCACAACACTATTCCTCCAGGCTCTGCCCTGCAGCAAGAGAACAGACCCCAGGGATTACTCAGAATTCAGTAACTGACAAATGCACATTCCTTTTGCATGGGTTTTCTTTAAGACAGCACAGTTCCTCTTGCACACTAAATTCTATCTACATTAGGAAACGTCAGCATTAACACCAACACAATCTTCTGGGACTGTAATACCCTGATGAGCAACAAGCCATTAGCTCCCAGAGGAGACATGTAATTAATCTCCAGGCAAATGTACTAAAACACAGGAAATAAGGCTCTCTTCCCCTGCTCTGAGCTGTGCAGCTTGCGTGGACTGGCTCAACTGCAGCCCTTCTGCCTTCAACAAGATCAGTTCCAGCCATCTGAGACTTCTGGCAGGACGGAGGCTGAAGCAGTGCAAAACTGTCCTTACTCTTGCACAGCAGCAGTTGGAAGCTACCTCTGCCAGACACCGCTCTGACCTAAGTCCCTGAGCAAGGTTCTCACCAAACACCACTTTCAAGGGGGGGAATTCTTCTCACCTACTTCAAATTCTTGGCTGTTGCAGCGTTTAAAAACAAATTTCTCCATTTGACAGTTGTCAGCTCAGAATTGTTTACTAAACCACTATTCTCTAAGACTGTACCAGCAACCAAGCTGCTAAAGAACAACATTTCTTTCCTCCAATACATATGCTGAGCAATCCAGACTGCTCCAGAGAACTTTATTTCAAACCATTTATGAACTTTGAGAAGTTTTTTCCAAACCTAAAAGTATTTAGATCAATACCTCACAAAGACAAAAGTGCAAACAGTAAGTGATTCAAAATTAAAGGCAATTATTTGACCAGTTCACAATTAAACATGACTTAAGGCATTTCCCTTCCACGCAGCTGCAGTGGTGGATTCCCACCAGCTCTCCAGCAGTGTAAATACAGAATGAAAAACAGCAGCCCCAATTTACGGCAATGCTCAGGACAAAATCAAACATATCCCCATTTTTCCAATCATAGCTTTCATAATTCTTATCAAGTTTGTATTGTGAACCAATACATAAAAGAAAATAGAGTGGGAATAGGAATATTTACAACAATACTTGCAAGTAAAATAACACAAGGCAAATACATTCCTGATGACTCAAGAATTTCAGTATGGCTGGACAACACAGCAGTAAAAATCTCATGAATAGATGCAAGTGCATACGTAGCTTGAATTAAACGCAGACCTCTTTAGATTAGTTCCATTATAGAAAAATACATAAATGCTACTTAGAGAGTTGAAAGCATCCCTGAGTGCAGTTACCTCTGTTCTGGACTGCTGTTAGTGGGCTGCAAAGCTGAAGGAGCCTCTTCCGCAACCTCTGCGTTCTCCTCTACCACATATTTACAAGAAGCATCCTGCGAGGTAGACAATTTTCCTTCCTCACTACATGAAAGGAAACAAGGCATTTAATCTGTGAGTTTAATTTTTTAAGTTACAATACATTTCAGACAACAGCAGAAAATAGGGAGAAGGGTTTGGTGCGTCACATGCAAATGGATTTTAAATTATGATTGAAACATGAAGATCAGGCATGAGTCCAGACTTAACAAACACTGAAGGCACCGGCGTTCAAAACCATTAAAAACCCACTGGATAAAAATGCAGGAAATACAATGATTACAAATACAACCAGGAAGTAAATAAGGAATGGTGTGAAGCCCACAGCGATAACGATCAGGGTTACAATCCTTTACTGTACATACCGATAGGATTTCAACACTCTGAAGCCATAAGTATGCAAAAACAGAAGGGAGAAAGTATAAAAGAAATTCAAGATTCCCTTAGAAATTGGCATTGACAAAGTCTGTCCGTAAAACAAATCAGCAGAATCACTGACTCATCACCACCTTTACTGGTAAACGACCCCATGGCTACACCTGTAGGTGCAGCACTCATAGCAGCCTTTGCTCTACTGCAATTCACCAGCGTCTCCTCAGACATGGAACTGAACACAGCTGGGTGAAAAAGCGGTGTGCTCACACCAGGAAACACATTTGTATTTTGCCTCTTCAGAGAACTATAAACGCTCTGGCTTCCCACCTTGTCCCATTAACTCAGGCCCTGACTGGCACGTCAGTGTACAAAGTTATCTGTACACCGACAAGGGCAGAGGGCAGCTCTGCAGATGACTGAGTTTTCTGCAGCAGTAAGTCTAGTTAAGTTGTCTGGAGCATTCTAAAGTCATTGCTGATTTCTCTTCCTCCTCTTACAGTTCTCCTGCCGATGGATCCTCCCTCTTTCAAAGAATCCTTTTCTTTCCTCCTACATATCCTTAAATCTACGCAGCCTATAAGATAATGTCTTATCCCTGTGAATGCTCACCAACACCCATTTTCCCATTTGGTTTATTACCTCATTTGTCTTAAAACTCTGTGTTTGTTTGAAATACTTGCCACAAGCACCAGGTCTTTTCTAAATTTCTTTTGTAATTGTTCTTAAAGAGGTATCCTCCATTCTCCTTCTCAACTTCTTCTCCCTTATCAACTAAGCTCAAAAGTCATTTTTCTCCTTTGCAGTTTTCCATATAGCAGCTCCTGTCCTTATGATGCTTCTCCTCAGCACTGATTTAATCACCACCCATCTTCTGTTGGCAGAAACTTATACAGAACTTAGGTCTGAGAGCATCCACTTTGCCAGATATGATTTCCACTCTTAAGCTAAATTGATCTATTTTTTTTTAATATTATTTCCTTTGGATAAAATATTTATTTCCCACTTGCTGTCTGGGCATATTTAAAAGTACGTTTAAAGAAAGCCACGTGAGCTCTGACCAATATGAGGCCATTTATCTCTACACTGGACCTAAACAGTCCACATTAAAGATCTCATCCCGTCAACTCTCTTCTACACTTAACATCCCCCCTCCCAAATCAAGATCCCAGATTCATACTCCCTCCCTTTGCACCTCTCTCCTTTCAGCTGAGAAGATCCATAGCTCAGGCAAGTAACTCCATGACGACAGGCAGCAACTGCCACCATGTGCTGCCTACACATATCAACTTCATTTTCTGCACTCTTATCAGAAGCCACAGAGCTTGTCGTTTAAAGCTGTTTAAATGTAAAAGCACCACTGATATCCAACTGTGACTGAACTGTAACAACAGAAGTGCAGACCATATAAAAGCGTTCTTTAAAATACAGAATGAAGATTCATCATTTACTAAGACAAGAAGTCATTCTGATTCCATGATATACCACTCCAGAGTCACACTGCTCCTTTCAACTGCTGAGGTTCAATTTCTCTAACAGCCACTTGATTCTTTAAGTGCTGTGCAGTCAGAAACGCCCCCTCTCTCACATGAAAAAGCATTTCTTGGCACTTCATCTAGGTTACAATTTATTACTTAGATATCCAAAAGGATAGAAACAAGACTGACTGAAAGCTGTTACATTTCAATTCCCAGAGCATCCAGAATCAACTGTACTTGTCTACTAACAGGACAGCTAGAAGTAAAATGCAGTTAAGAAGGACAGCACAGCGACTAACTCTAGGAAGTTTTTTCTTTGGAAAGATAGTGGCTCTTTTAAACAATCCCTAAAACATACAGTCAATTTCTTCTCAGCATTTAAAACTCAAACAGAGACAGATAATAGGAAGTATAAAAGAATGAGCAGAGAGCTGGATGCAAAATGCTAATAACATGCTGATTCATCAAGATCAGAGCAGGGAAAAACAGTATCAATATGGGCAAAAATATAATTGGTCAGACTAGTTAGCCTCTGTTTCCTTATGTTAAGAAGTGACACCAAATAAAAAAACATTTCATCATTAAGATTTGGTATACAAGGCGGAAACAAATTTTACGTATCACCTACGTATGTACCTTGTACATGTAATGTGGAGTATAACCATACCGTAAGGCCATGTATCAAAATCTAACACTTTGTATCAAAAGATATCAAAATTAACGAGCTTGTCTGGTTTGAGACTTCTGCGTACCAGCATGAGACCAGAACAGACCTGACACTGACATCCACATCACTGATGACTCCAGATTTCTGAATAATTACTCTTAAGAGCAGCGCCCAGCTGCCCTTCAATCTCTCCCTTCCAAGCTCTTTTCACAAGAGACTGAATTCCAAATCAAATACTCAGTTGCAAAGTTTAAAAGGCTTTGGCCTTGATCTACAATTGCATCATTATTTTAATGTACATTAAAATGGCACAGTAACGTGCATTAGGCCCAAAATGGGGCCAGCCTCCCACTGCTAACTTTCCAACGACAATTCAGATTTGATAAGGAAAATCTTATTCCAGTAACTAACCAGAAATAAAGTTTCAAGACAATTCCATTTGGAAAAGGGCTCTGGTTGAACACTTAGGAATTCTCACTTGAAACTCTCTGTGATGACAGCATTCCATCAGCAGCACTTATGAAACAAGAGTGGGAAGGCAATACATAAGGAGTAAACTCTCACCTTTTGAAAACAGCCGTTTCAGTTTTAGCATCTACAGTAAGGCTCAGCGTCTCCTTCATGCTGCCATTCATTACTGTTTCTGTTACCTTGTCTGCATTTTCTCCATCCTCTTCTCCATCTGAGCTGGCCTCCATAGCAACACTTCCTGGGGCTGGAAGAAACCGAGCACTTCAGTACATGGCTGCTCATGTGCTTACTGCAATACATTTGCTTGACCAAGACGTCAGTAGAGTGGTATGAGAATACCAAGTTTGGTCTTCTACAGCCCAATTCATTGCATGATTTCACGCTCTACAATTTGCCAGTAAATTCCCAAGTACTGGAAAGCCTCTGACAAATCCAATCTTTCTGGACTTCTCATCTGCACTTTGAGTTCTGTCTACTAATATGTACAGAAAATTAATTAATGCAGGTTTGACTTCTAATCATTTCATATAAATAGAACAAGGAGTACACGTATACATAAAAGGTAATTTCAAAAGGAAAAAGAAGAAAGGGGAAATCTGAACACTTTGAGGTCTGTTGCACATGGGAAGAGAGCAGAGGCTACTGACTATTCTTGGGCACCAGCACAGCTAAGTGCTGCCAAACGCACGGCTTCTCTAACAGAAGAGATTTAGCTTCCCTGCTCATGATAGGAAGGCTTTTCAGAGGCAGTATTAACCAGGAAAACTGAACTTCAAAATTGTTTTTTGCAAGTCATTCTCATTGGCTAGCAGAAGAGCAGAACCAAATGAGAGGTCCCTGGATCCAGTATAGTTTGGTGAGGTCTTTCTTTGGTTCAAGCGTTAGAAATCAATCCATTCACATTTCTGAATGCAGCATACTCACTTTCCAGCTGTGTTGGAAGACCAGCTGCATTTGCACTCAAGGGATCCATTGGCTCTGTGTTTGTTTCCATTTCCACGGGAGAATTACTTCTTAAGGAATCTGTCGAGCTTCAAATACAAAATAAAAATAAGCTTTACAAACAACAGAATGAAAGTTGCATTTGGTTCTTTCAAAGGCACAAAGCCTCGAGCATTACTGAACCTGAATGACACCAAGTTCACGTGAGTCTTGGCTAAGGTGTCCCAAACAGAAGTTCAGTAACGTAAAACCCAGCAGAGCACGGCACCAACTGAAGATATATTTGGCACTGCTGTTATTTTTACCTGCAAAGGAGATGCTGCAAGGCACAGAACTATTGCTGGCTGCTCGCAGTATTTCCAACATTCTAAGCTTCTTTTTAAATGCACTTTTTGGAACCTCGAAAATCCAGAGTTCTCTGCTGAGACTGTCGACACAGGCCCTAATTATCGACTGCAGAAGTTGTTTTACTTTGATTTATTTGCTCAGTGGTATACACAGCATAGCTACAAGTTTTTCTGATGTGGAGCAATTCAAAATACAAATTTTGACCACTTGAAATACTTCCATCGTTTACAGAGTAGCATCTTCTCAATCCACTAATGTGGCAACGCCATGTCTTCATTTATAAACCTTACTAGAATATGGCAACTCAGATTTTACATCTGTAGGGATGATGAGGTACTCGCACAGAGGAGCTCAATTATTTCTGACACACTAATCACACCAAAAGAAGAAAGTGTATATGAGCTGTGATTGAAATACTACAGAGCTGCCTTTCTAGATTCTGTAGTTACATAACCACGTGTGTGCTTTGTTTTGTTTTTAAACAAAGTTTAGAGCACTGATAAAACAGAATCATCATCAATATTTTATGACTCTCACATTCAACAGTTACGTGTGTTCCTTGAGTTCAGTCTACACCAAAGAAGTCATAGCCCACTTCCAGGCAGAGACCAATATTCAAGTACACAAATCATCTTCAAAAATCCTCTAAAACAATGACCCTTTAGGTTTCACTAATACTATAAAAGCCTACTGTTTAAAATGACCATACAAAGATCCAACACTATAATGTGTGGGGCCTTTGAATACAGCACACTCTGCATTACCAGCAAAACACCTCCAACACAGCCTTGGTAGCGAGGCACACCCCAGCAATACCGAACAGCAGCTGAACTCACCCTGTATCACAACTTCTTACCTCAAAGAGGATGTGAACTCTGAAAAAGAAGCCCAGCCAGTTTCTTTGGCTGGCATAGGTTCTTCTGTACTCCACACATCAGACCCAACAGAATCCAGATTGGTACCATGCGCAGTCTCCATGGGCACATCAAAGTTAGCCGACCAATTTGGTGCTAGAAAACCAATCAGCAAATTCATTAGGAACCAATTTAAGGAATGCAAATGTACCTATGCCTAACTTGCTGATTCTCTACGTGCACATTCCAAAAGGAGCAGCAAAATTCTTAACTGTATTTTAAAGCACATGCAAATGAATTCTCTACATAGTTAAACTGTGAATGCACTCTTTAAGAGAAATTCTGCTAGCAAGGCAGAACTTCAAAAATGGTAACTCTCAGTATTCTGAGAAAAATCATTAGCACTAATCTGAGGAACACAAAAACTGTATTAGACCACAAGTGCAGTTCCCCTTTATTCCTTAACCTAACATTAATGGTTGTTGCAGATCTTCAGTGCTAGTTTCTATACTTAAAAAAAAAAAAAAAAAGCACCCTCAGGTTTTTCATCCCTTCCTTCAGTTTCCTGTGCACATTTTCCTCAACACAGAAAATGAGCACAACAACGCAGGTACAGGTGGTCTCTTAACATCTCATGCATTAGCAGCACTGCTAAGTTTCAGAAAAGCTTAAAACCCCATATGACTTTCAAATATTTACTGGGATATTAAATTTTGGAGCAGTCTGGACTTAAAAGCATCTAATTGAGGATAGGTCAATTCAAAATACTTCACCTACCCAAGGGAAACATTTTCTTCATTAACACTTACATACAAAAAAACAGGCTGAAAAGGAAGCTCTGACTAGCAATTAGAAATTCCAACCCAGGCAGATATGGGAGGAGACCCACATGGATCAAAACTTGTTTGACACACAGATGCCAACGACACCAATCTGACAAAAGAAAAGAAAACCCTTAACTATTCCTTCTATTGTAATTTTTAATTCCTTACAGTCTAGATAAACACAGGGCTTTTGCTACAGATGTTGCCAGTTTAAGTAAAGCCAGTTTAGTTTGCAACTTGATTGTGAAAACTCCTAAGCCAATTACAACAATTAATTTTCCATGTGAGAGCCCTACTGATACACACTGTAAACAAGATTATTCATGTGTGAAATGACACCAATCTCAATCCATTTCCCTTCTGCAGAATGCATTTTAAAAGAACACTTGAAGACAAAGTGTTGGTCTGAAAAACTTCTAGTAAGAACAACCATATTTTATGCTCAGAGATCAACAACCTATCAGGTTTGCAAGCATCTGAGATGCGTAAATTAACTTTTATTTTTCCCATTCCTGTATTTTTCCTACTCAGTTTTCCCTCTTGAAGAGTACAGATGTGAATTTTAGACTCCAGTAACTTAACTCAGGACATGTAAGGAATTTTAATTGCCCAATACCCATGTACTCTACAGCAAGCAGTCTTTACAGTGAGAGATTAAGATACTCGGAATAAATAACAATAGGAGGAAAGCTCTTACAAAAATAACACTGTGCTAAATGTAGCACTTTCCTATAATTCCAAGCAGTTGACAGAAAAGTTACATACGTTCATTTAAGTCTACTTCCATTTTGTCCTCCGTATTGGCATGCGATTCAAACAAATCTTGCTTTGTTCCATCCTCTTCTTCAGAGTCAGTACTTTCTTCACTGTCCGTACTGCCCGAACTTAAAACACAAAGACAGAGTTTACATGGGATTGGATCTAGGGCACTAAAGAATCCTAGAGAGGTTGAGGCTTGATAGAACTGTAACAGCTGTTGTTGCTGATACATTAAGTGAAGTCCAATTCATTAGCTGTCAGCATGCCCCTTATTTCCACCCTCCCCCCAGAAAAACCAAAGGTTTATCACTTGGTCATGTAAAGAGATTTTTTTTCCCTCTGCACATAAAAAGAGAACCTTCACTCCCATCACGCAGAAGAGATTAGAAAAGAAAAAGGAATTAGACCAGTTATCTCCATACACTAAACAGAAGAATTGTAGAATTCTTGTCAAGACCAACATAAACATAAGAAAACAATTTATGTTGAAAACAAACCCAAACGTATTCCAGTCAGTTCATTTGCATATGTACTTTGTAACCTAGAGGCAAATTTCCCTTCCTGGTGAGCACAACCAGCATTAACAAGTTTAGTAATGACATATCTAAGCACATGCTTGAAACACATCACCTACGTGTACACAACGCCAGCATACTGAACAACTGCTCATGTAGAGGAGCTCTCAGCCCCACACACTCCAACGGCCACAACAGAAGACGCACATGTGGTTTGGGACTTAAATCACAGGAAGGTCAAAAACCTATGCTGGGACAAAATCCAGAAGCCACTGGAGGCTGCGTAGCCCACAGAGTTTTGGGGAACAGATGCTCCTTTCCTTCAGTGCAGCTGCCTATATAGTTTTATCCACAACTGCAGTATGAATAAGGGCAACTATGGCAACGGAAGTGGATACTCCAATTCTAGTAACACTACAGAAAAAGAGAGCAAGGTCTGTCTACACAGGTAGGGACTGCCTTAGACTGGGCTGCCTTGGGCTGAACGGAGGGAAAGAAAAAGGAAATAAGCTGAGATGCAGAAAGAACCAAGTAGTCAGGATAGCAATCTTAAGCAAACTAAGGCTTGCACAAAGCCTTAATAAATAATAAAAAATAGCTATCCCTCTACCAACTTCTCCAAAGAAAGGAAATCAAGCTGGACAGCCTGTGCAAACAGCCAACCTGAGGCAGAATGTGTACTCAGTGGGAAGGCTCACTGTAGTGCTGAACACAGATGTCCTACCTGGAACGTCTCTGGGACTCTGGTGTGAATGCAATATGTTTTTCTTCCCAGATGTCTTCTTCATCAGAACCACCATCATCAAACTGCTGTATCCGCTCCTTACAGCATGCCTCAAACAATGCTATATTGCCCTAAATATAGGAAAAATATAAAAGTCTCTTTATGGATTAATTATTCTACTTCAGTATTTTGGAAATACATGATTGGTTTGAAAAGAAACTAGTGGCGAAAAAGCACCTCTCAGTAAGGACTGAAAAACCAGAAGGCATCAACAACTTAAAGCTCCTAAGGAAAGCATACAGTGGAACTTGTTTTAGTCAACTGCTAACATGCTGAGTGCACTCATCCAAGAGCTGCTGGGAGGCTCCATCACAATTCAGAATGGCGCGTAGGAATGACATCAAAAGAGCTTTCCGCACAACTGCACCACCAAATATTCCAGCTTTATTTTCTGTAGCAGGGTTCATTTCAGCTCAACTGACATGCAGTACATATGCTAGAAGTCTCTATTCTTCACTTCCTGTTACTGCTATCTTGCCAGAATGCTGAAACAGTGTCTATGCTCAACTCACGTGCAGTCTGCACTGCAAGCTTGTTCTTGAACCTGGACACACAAATTAGAAGCACTTGCTTAATATTAACCATAAGGAACAGTAATAAAGTAATCTAACTAGAAAATCCCCACAAGGCAGGAATAAGGTGTACTTACTTTCTTAAGGTTATACATCATAAAAGAATAAACAAAAGCCAACACCAAACCTTAAAGGTCACTCAGTTTAAGAGAAGGTAATTTTTCTGCAGGCACAGGAATGCATACTTACACTTTCATTTGTATTGAGGGTAAAGTTGATGTCTGAGACCCGATCAAAAGAAACACTGCAAAATAAATGATGCATGAAATACACTAAGAAAAGATGATGTTATCACACGAGGACATGTCATTTTCACAAGTCCTTACTTACACTATGAAACTAGGAAGTGAGAAACCTAAAGAGGCAGTCATTTCCAATATGAAACCAAGCACACAAATTCTACTAAGGAAGTCCGTCGTTCCTGAGGCTTTCTCAGCTGTGAAGTATTTTAAAGATACATCTCTAACTGAATCCTCCAAAGATCTCGTTAGCAGGTCTTTTATCTGACAATTGATTTCACCTCTCTCCAGAAGGTCCTTCTTAACAAGCAGCAGCAATGTGAAAAATTAACATCAACTTTGGTTTTCTGAAGACAACACTGAACAGCTCTGGTTTTTTAACCGACTGCTACACGGAAGTTAAACCTGCTTCCCCCCAAGCTGCACATTAAGTTGGAGGCTTCACGCTTCTCCACATATCAAACTTTCCAGCAGTTTTACAAACTAATACAGGTACAGCTTAGACCAAAAATAAGACCAGGCAAATCGAATCTCTGGGGGAAGCAAGAAAACAGAAAGAGGAAGGATAACCTAACAAACTCTCAGAAGAGTTAATACATTCTCTGGTCACGCACAGCAGTGAATTCAGAGCTACTCTCTTCCTCTAATCCTCACAGCTTTAGAGACCAAGAAGGTACAAGACCAGAGATCCAAAGTACCAAGTGTCAAATGTGGCTGCACTACCATGGGAGCTGCCCCCACCCACCCCAGGATCACCACCTAGCTAGAAGTTGCACTACGCAGGTAATTTAAGCTGCAATTGATTCTTGCACAAGAGGCATAATCTTAAAGTAAAAGGCAGTTAATCTACAACTGAATTAAACTCGGTGTACCTACCACATAGCTCAAGGTCTCACTAAGTCATCTATCTTCCTTCCACCAAGATCGTACACTACAAAGGAGTTCCAACCCCCACTCTTGCCAAAATTCACTTGCTTCTAGCCAAGTTCCACAGTATCCTGAGCTACTTTCTCACCCATCTAAACTTCACCTATCCTCCCAGCAGGTTACGTGGTGTAACAAGGCAGCTCTGCTTCTTGGAAGGCATGTGCAAGTTTCAGGTAGCCATCAGTTACTAACCACAACTTACAGAAGAGCAAAGATCTTACATTTCATTGCCTTTTTACACTTCCACAAACCGATCATCAAATAGTGTTTTTACTCGGTTTTAACTACATCTTCTTTCATCCCAAGCCATGAATTCTAATTAAATCAGTATTGCTTTCAGTTAGAACTCCCATTCTTTCCTCATTATGCATCAGTTTACTTTGAATTGAAAAAAACCAGAAAAGTTTGTCATAGTTTTGGTTTTGTTGTCTTTTTCCACTTGCTTTTGTTGTTTATAAAATGTGACCAAGACATGCTCTTACATCTTAACTGCTATGTTCTTAGAAACAAGGGCAGATTTATAATGCCCTCCCTCAGTTTCCTCTACAGGAAACGGGGCATGGATTCCCACCATCTTCATAGGCAAACTTCTAAGCAGAGCAACTATCCGTTCTGCTACACTGATTCAGAGGGGTCAATGACTCTCTCTGTGCCTGCAAGCAGAAGTGCTCCCCAATAAAGCCAACTCATTGGTCACATCTGGCTTTTAAGAGCAGAGCTACAATTTATTCTTCACTCAAAAGCTTTATGTTTTCACACTGGCCAGCCAGGCCATTTCAAGTGAATGATTTAGCTGTCGCTTTCCCATATAAACTGCTCAGAGGGGCTTTGTAAGAGCGCTCAAACACATTTTGGTACCAGAAGACAAGACTGATAGCCAACTGCATCACATGGATAAAGGCTGGTATTTGTCATCACCAAAACCACAGAAAGAAAAAAAGTTCCAGAGAGTACAGTCAAAACCAGCATAATAATATACTCACTTGCCGATGTCATCTTGATCAGCAAACTTCTCATCGTTGAAGCCAAACTGGTCAATAAAATTGGACGTCATTTGTTGCATCTGATAATCAGAAAAGGCCTGGCAACCCCAGGACCAACGACAGTGATATAATGATTCTAATAATACTCTAAATCCTATTTGCCCATTTTGCTCCAAAGAAATAAAAGTCTCTCTAATCTAAACATAAGAGACAGCAAAAGGATCCACCATACCCTTGGAATTTTAATGGTAATACTGACTACATTTACTGATTTGAAAGCCAGTCTAATTGCAGCTCTTAATGAGAAAGTTAAATCTCTAGTTTAACCATGTGTTAACCAGCACCCTTCTGAATGCACCCTTAAGAAGCAGGGGAGCAACACAACATACTTGGCAAAAGAAGCAGCTGCTTTTCTTAATATGAATATTAAGATATGAGCAGAAAAAAATGCAGAGAAGTCCATTAAGCAGAGATAATGAGTTCATATATTAGCTGTATTGCTCATACATACATACTAATGGTGTCTCTTCAACATCTAGAAGAAACTGAAGAGCATACACAGCAAGTTATTTCACATCCCACACGTCTGTGCAGCGTCACAACTGCGCTTATGTTTTAAAAAGGATGTCAGTGCCAAATGCCAGCAGATAGGTGCACCAGGACTATGAACTAAATTAGTACTCATTCTCCTGGAACTGTTAACAGTGTTGTTTCTGCGTGTAATGTCAGCCAAGGTCAAGCTACTCCAGGACACATGGCTGATGTCAACTCTCTCGCTGCCTTCCCAGGTAGCCAAGGGGTCACAGCATACAGGCGGAACCTCTAAAGAAAGTGATGAAGCAGAACAAGGTGAATACAGAAAGAAAACAAGAGAACAGTGGAAAAAAAGTTTGAATTAAGGCAGGAAAGAGAAAAATGATGGCTATAGAAGTATGAGGCAAATAGCAAGATACCATCAGTGAGTCTGAGAAACCCAAATGCAGGCACTGGTACGTAGGGTTACTATGCTACACCAAGCCAAAGCAGAAACTCTTGTATTTTGAACTGAGATTTTAAAATCTGAGAGCGTTTCAGAACCTCAGGATTTCATACCAACACAATTCAATGTATCAGCCTTACGTAGGTTAACAATCAATTACTGACTGTCCCACTAAATCATTGTTCATCTTTATGCTGGTTACTGAGAACTCTTCTTGTAAAGCATCTTCGCTATTATGGATGTTAAAAGTCAGGAGTGAAAACAGGGTGCAGCCATGAATGCCAGTCACCAGGATAAACAGAAAAGTAAGACATGAGTCTCGTGACATGAAGGGATTATGAAACTCCTTTGGTCACTACATCAGAATTGTATACAACAGCATACAAAACACAATTACCAACTGCTTGTGTGCCTAGGAGAAGACAGTTCCATCCCATGGTCAAATGTTTGAAAAAGGGACAAAAAGCAACACTAAACTAGTGCAGAACAAAAGAACAATGGAAGAGTTTCTACAGCCATAGCAAGGCAGCACATGAAATAGTAATGGCATGAGAAACCTTACATCCCAGGCTCAGCTGTCAGGAAGACATCTTTATCAAAGACATCAGTTCTGAAGCGCTCATCAGAAACTTGCATTAGAAGTGTCTCTGAGTGAAAAGAAACATTTCTTTTGGGCACAGTGGGGACTTACTAGAAGTACAGCATCAAACTAAATTTGGATGCAAGTGTAATTCTGCATAAACAAAAGTTAAATTTGACAAAAAAATTAAAAGGTAAACAGGTTCCTTAGTATTTCCCACTCCTCACATTACTTCCTAATGGGTACCCTCCTGATCCCCCCCCTTCACTTACTGGTCTACAGAGATCAGGCTAGCTGCAGCCAGTTATCTTTACTCATTAATGAATGCTTTAAGTAATTTCAATGCATTTCCCATCAGTGACTTATCTTGTCTAATATCTTGCTTTCCTCACAAGACAACTTTAAAATGTACAGCTTATTTAGCTAAGGAAAAAAATATATATATATATAAAATATTGTTTCCTTCAAGTTATTCACTGCAGTACTACCTGCATTTCTGGAGATTAGCTGCCTGGATTATTAAGGGGTGCATGAGAAGCACAGAGTTGCTTTGAGATCTCACTTTCTCACTAGAGCTGCTTCAGATGGCATCCAACCTATCATGCTGGAATTTAAGCAGACCATACATGCACAAGACCCATGGAGCAAATAAAAATGAAACTCTCTAAATTTGAGCCACCACTCCCAATTCAAACCTTGAAAAGCAATTACTTATCATTAAGAGTATAGAAAACGTGCAAAGTACCAAAACCAGTCTTAGACTAGGTACCAGACAGCTGTTAGTATGAGCTAAAAGAAATATGATTTTGATTAATAACCTAGATGAGTTGTGTGCTTTGAATAGGGCACCTATCAATAGTTTTGTATGACAAAACTACACACCAGCAGCTGCCACTCTTTCACCATCCATGGAAGAGTTAAAGGAAATTTATATTGCAGACAGTATTTTTAGAAAAAATTCTGTCATGCTTCATAAAAATGGCACCAATGTTCTCCATAATCACTCATCCCCAAAATACTCCAAATGCCATCACCACATTAAATACAGAGTTATCAGTTACTATAAGTACTAAAGCTTCAAGGTAGACGTAGCTGTGATTTAAGCTTTCAGTCTGGTGAATCTGAAAATTCCTCACAGCCTCAGATTTAATTTTTTCTTACCTTAAATGAGAAATAGCTATCTTTGAAAAACTCACAAAGGAGCTCTCAAAAGCACGTACTGAATCACAAATAAGCAATCTAGCACATTAGAAATTTAATTCAGGAAGATTGAGCTATGTCCATCTGCCCAGTAGCAACGGTCTACAAAGTTAAAACCATTGCAGCTGCTTGATACAATCTGTCACAGAACTGTACTTAGCTGGCTCTTTGTTTATATTGTTGTGACAACTGCAGCTCTTGACATTTTGCCTTCAACTAAAAGCATGCAACAACATACAGCCAACCCACCCCTTCCCCACTGAAGTCAGGATCAACATGTTAAGAAAAATCTATTAACCAAGACCCAACAGAACCCCAACTCTGATTTCAGAGCAATTAATATTTTCAAGAAAAACAATTAGAATTCACCGTATCAGCCTTCTCCATCTAGTAAGAACAAAGGTCACAGAAACTGTGTTCAGCTCAGCCACACAGCTAGCATACGAAATAGCTTAGGTGTAATGAGCAGAGACCTGCGTACACAGCTCCATCTCAGTTTAAAAACTGAACACTGAGAGGCCATGCTGTGTGCTAGAAGACACATCTATGGGCTCAATAAAGTAAATGTGTGCATGAGAACACATCTAAATAAGTTAAAAAAAATAATCTACTGCAAGCAGTACAAACGTAGAAGGATTATTTCCAGGTTTTTTTTGTTTTTTTTTTTTTTTGTTTGTTTTTTTTAAGATAAAAACAACTTATGCAGCTAGAAGAGTTCAACTCACTTGCTGCAAAGAAGAATCCTGTGAGAAGCCAGTTTCTTTGAAGTCAATCTCATCGTCACTGGAAGAATGAATGTGGCAGGTAGTGACCTATACAAAATAATTGAGTCATTTGCTTATTGTGTGATAATTTCAAATCCAAACAAGAAACTGAATTAATTGCAGTTTTCTCAACTGCTAGACTACATAAAACAGACCCCGAAGTATTTCAATATCATTAACCTACACCTGAGAGAACTTGAATCTTGTATTTTTATTGTAAGATATGTGAACTAATAGCCACTAAAAGGCTGGATTATACACAGATCTTCCTTTCCAAAACAAAGAACACAGGAAAATGAAACGACTGTCTCAGGTGTCTACAGTATTTGCATAAATAAAAACCAATAAATGATTCACCTTCAAAAATTCATAATCAGCATCTGCTTGCAGAAGCAAACATGGAGTTATTACCATAGCAACAACTGTTTGAACCATTACCCTAAAATGAAGATATGGTTTTGATCATGCAACACAGAACCAGCGGGAATAGTCTGTTCCTTAAGCAGCAGCGTAGCTGAACTTGTTCTTGGAAGCAGCTATTTTCTATTAGAACAGCACTCCAAAAGAAATTTTAGCCAGGACAGCAATGAGGCAAAATAACAGTAGTTACAGCTGAGCCTTAAGACACGCTTCATGGACGATCATTCATATGAAGCAGATGTGCAGATGACAGCTTGCTCAGTTCTACACTACACTGCCCTACTGCACACACCCCTAGAACTCCATGGTACAGATTCTCAAGTAAACGCAGCTGGATGACGTGAATTTATTTACTGATCTTTTGACAAGAGATCAGTCTACACAAAAGCCGTGTTTAAACACAGAAAACGTAAAAGCTTCACAGACACCTTCTTATGCTCCCACAAATGCAATACCACAGTCAGGACAGGCATGCAACAGACAAATGAAGACAACTTTTTCCTGAAGTATACTCTGTTTCTACACTTTCTCCTTCGATGTGTAACTCTTACTTAAAAGCCACATGACCTGGGGTGCTTTTTTGTTGCACGCCTATCATCCAGCCCTACAATAAAATTTGCAGACTGGAAGCACCTGATTTCACACAAGCTACCTTGGTAGCCTGGCAGCAGGAAAGACTGACTGTACTAATGGCACGAAAAAACAACAACGGGGCTGAAGCAAACAGCAGGAAGTTTTTTAATGTTAACCAACACCACTTACAAGATCCACCGTATTCCTTTTGTTAGTTTCTCCTAAAGAGCTCGTACAGAATGTCTCCCACCGCTCTCTGACCTCCTCTGGAAGCTCTAGGATAGGAAAAACAATATATTACAATCAACAGTAAAGCATCACCATTTTTAGTTTCTCTTTTCCTCTTATAAATCAAAGCAATCAGAAATATTGTAACAACATAGAAATACTAAAGCCATATGGACTAGTTCATCTAGCAAAGAAGCCCTAGTTAGGCAGGCCAGCATCTCTTTACATTTTCTTCAAGGAGCTTCGATACCATTCAGGTAAGTTTGAAAGAGAATTAAACATCTGTTTAAGGAGGAGTGGTTTTAAGCTGAATGTGTCAGAAATATATACATATTTTTAATCCAAAATCTGCCTTCTAATTTAAGTTTGATCAACTTCCTAAAGCTGTGACGCTGGAATTCACAAACAGAAAGGCAAAGAGCATTAAGGTTACCTTTGATAAGCTGCTGGACTAACGTGCTGTTAGGGCCCTTATCTGTACTATGCACAATACAGTTGGCTATCCTTGTCAGATGACCCATATAGCCATGCCGTCTTCCTCCTTCAGCCCTGCAAGAGACCAAAGAAATGGAACCACGTGCACTCTGAGCAGCTCTGCTATTGTATTTTGTTACAAAATATTCCACCAGAGTTAAGAACTTATACAAGACAGACAAGTTAACCTCCAAGTTCTTAAAACGTAAGAGCAGCATCCTAAAAACGAGAGGCACACAAAAATACTCAATTTAAAATACAAGTGTTTAGATTACACTGAGCCATCCAGGAGACTGACAGGGCTGTAACTACCAAGAAGGAAGTTCAGAGCATCTGAACAGATCATTTCTGTTTTCAAGTTGGTGTGCGGGGAAAAAGAATACCCTGAATACCAAGATGAAGACGGAACTGACAACACATCTGTAACATTCAGAAAAACACTGCTGCTGAGAATATTTTTCAGTGCTCCCATACACTCTGGTGCATTATCTGTTAGGGTAGTATGTAGGTCGCTCTGAAAGTAATGCTTCCTATTTATTTCTATGGAAACTGAAACAGATACAAAGAGCAAATCAATTTTTTCCACACAGAAGCAGAATCAGATGTTTATACCAACAGCTTTCCCACTCATACCACAAACATACAATAGCAAATAGGTAATGAACTCTCCTACATGGCAGGCATTAAAATCAAGAAAATCCAACCAAAAAATAGTTTTAGGTTGAATGTATAGGAATCTATTTGCTCATAATCTAGGTTAGTAGTTCTCCTACAACCTCAGGAGATAACGATAATATATGACAGAAGATAGATGGGACAGCCTGATTTAACCTAGACAGAATCCCTACTAATTGCATCCCTTTTCTTCATAACACTCTGTTCAGATATTTCAACATCCTTACTTTTAGGCCAGCTGCACTAGTCATGTATTTTCTGATTCACACCAGATAGGAATAGGACTATTTCAGGGAATGGTACTGTTTCTCAAATAATACACCAGCAAGCCAGCAACAGTATCCCAGTCAGCTAACTCAGTATTTTCACAAGTCAGCTCTAACATTCACTGTTCAGAAGTCTCTCAAGGGAAATACAAGAGCCTTCAGAGCACCATTATACCACCTCAGGTAAAGACTGAAAGCTTTTCCTCATGATATGAACTCAATTTCAGACAGTACTGGCTACCTGAAACTTGCATCCTTTCCACAGTCACACACTCCCAGAAGGTATTTCATTGCTGAGATCTTCACTTTTGTTAATTATGAGTCTGTTGCTCCCCAAAACGTAACATGCTTTGATCTGTTTATTAATTTTCAATTGCTTACTGATCAGAAGTGTGTTTTTTTTTCCCCCTATTCCTTTAAAACTTCATGATATGTTTCTGTAATTGAAGATGGGTAGAGTCACCTGGCTGATGTAATGTTTTACACAGAGTAGGAATTACAGACTTGGTTCTATCCCTTTATGGTAATGGGAAAATGTATTCAAATGCTACCAAAAAGATGGTCTAAACTTCAGGCATTACTAAGAGAAACAGAAGGACTCTTAAAGAAAATTCAGTATATGTGAAAGCTTTAATCCAAATATTAACTGTTTGTAGAACTTAATTATTCCACTTACTACCAAGCAAACTGTTCTTCCAAGTAAATATTTAATGCACTGCATATTTCAGGAAAGAGATGCATTTGTCTTTAAAACATTCTAAGCAAGTGTATTTGTTGGTCAGCTCAGTCTGAATTGATCACGTATACATTTCACAATTAAAACTGTATTTAGACAACTGCAGGAAATGAGAAAACTAGTTACTCACTGCTTCTTCTCATTCATCTCCCATGCTTCAAGTATTCGTTCTATTAATTGGCACTTAAGGAAGAGCTGTGGAATAAAATGCAAAATATACTTAATAGCTGTAAAGTTAAACGGAACAACATCATGCATTTCGGGGCTGATTTTAGGAAATCCTCATGTCTTACAAGGCAACTAGTTTCAGGTTCAGGATAGATACTTGGATTAAGGGCTTCAATGCTCAGAAGCAGCAGCCAGATCCCAGGCGAAAGCCTGAAGGCTGAAGCTACATTATTTTGACTTCTCTTTGATGGCAGCTGCTGAACTGTAGAAGTGAACAGACACTGAAATAGCAATTTTAATTCTTAACAGTAAGTGGAACTTCAATTAAAAGGGAGCTCTTGCAGCTCTACACACACGTTTATTCTGAAGGCAGCAAAAACCCACTCTGTGGCACTCTCGGGTTTAATAACCAGAATTGACATGTTAAGAAAACAAAAAGCAAAGAACTCTTAATTCTGTATGAAGGAAAATTGAGTTATGTTTTATGTAAGAGTAACTGAGTAATCGTGGGGGGTAGGAATATTGAAGAAACTCCTTCCAAAAACACAACTTACATGTTTCAATAAAAGATTGTCCCCAGTGGAATCCTGATCTGTAATTGTGCCATTTTCTGTGCTTTCAAGAGGACTTGCAAGAATCAATGCAATACAGATTTCTACTTGAGTATGCAAAAAGTTATTCCACGTATACTTAAAGAACATGTCCTGAAAAACAAATTCAATAGGGTTTATACAAACCAGGGTCTCTTCAAACAGAAGACTTTCTCCAGCAAGTAATGTGAACAGCAACGCAAGCAAGTTCTCCAAGTTCTGTGATAACTATCACTGTGCAAGCAAAAGCGTGATTTACAAAGAAGTTATTTCTTCAGCTTGCTGTTATCAGAGCATAAGGACTATCATGCTGGATAAGAGTAAAAACTGAAGCTAGAGTTAGTCTGGGGGCAACCAATAGTGCACTTTCAGACAAAGAAAGCTAAAATGATACTCCTCATTAAGTTCTTTCTGCTAGCAACAGCCCTGAGAGTCCCTGAGAAAGTAATGCCATTTATGACCTTAGCCCTGAACAATTTTTTTTCTTTTTTTCCTAGTGCCTCCAATATCCTTCAGTGACACGCTTCTGCCTTTATTGAGACACTCTGCAAGAAATTACATCTAACTGCTTTGAACCTACTATCTATACTAGTTTTATTCTTCTCTTAAAGAAGGCTATCTCAGATAATCCAGATGCAATTTGAGATTATTTAATGCTTCACACAAGACAAATACTGAGGTTGACAGATCATGAATTGTGTTCATCTAGTCGTGTTCCTAGTTGGTCACAGATCTCCTTTTAAGCATCAGATTTTACTTTTTTCCTTTTTTCCAAACTTTATGTCCAGTCATTTCAGAACTATTTCTTACTACAAAACTCAGATGATTGCTGTCCCAGGGAAACAAGATTAGTCATGGAAATACATGCAGTGATGGAAGGAGCAAGTTTCATAATGTGATTCAAGTCTCATTCAAGCTACATCTGAAGAACCTAACAGTTCCCCTTCAACTTTCCTAAACTAATGACAGCCTGGACAAAAGCTAAGCTACTGATGGGAACAATTACTATTCCTAATAAGGTCTATGCAGCAAAGTACGTGTTGTTTCAGAAACACCATGAAGCACTGAAATTCAGGGCAGGTACCACTGGTTTTCCTTATAAAAAATCTGCTGAATTTAGATGTGCTGTGAAGGTTGGATTGTTCTTATAAGTAGGTTTAGGAAGAAAATCACACGTATTCCCTTAGATAACGGGAATTCATGTCAGAATGATGTTATTTCTATTTCTATACACTTTAATACCTGTCTGCAAACTCAAGCTGGACAGAGAAATGGAGATGGAGACACTGAGAAGACGACATAACTTCAGCTACTTTAGTTGGAGGAAAGATTTTAGATTAGATCAATCTGAGGCCAGAAAAATATTAATATTTTAAACTTTGCAATTACCTGCTTAGAATCAGCAGCTTTCATCACATTCTGATACTACAGTATAAATTCCAGCATGTTTTGCTGGGTATTTGTTAACTGATATCAACACTGGAACACTTTGGTCAACCTAAGAATTTTCCTGCTGCAGTCGAAGAGGTGGGAAGTACCCTCTCATTCATTGACTACCAGTTTCTGTGCCACATTTTGCTTGCAGTTCTGAAATTCTCTAAGCTACCAAGAGTAACTTGTCCCTTTTTTAGGAAGGCACGGAAATAGCATATAGCATGTGTATATGTGTATATACATATACACATATGTATACGTATATGTGTATATGTAACACATATAGCATATGTGTTACACATTAGAAGAGGGACAAAGAAGTTGAGGAGCTAGTTTGGCAAAAGAATAAGAATGGCAGGGAAGCTTTGAACACTGCTGAAAACTCAAGCACATGGAGCTGAAAAAATAAGCTTAAGAAAACTAGTCCAAGAGAATCATGCAGATTTATGAAGGTGCAAAGAGTAAGATGTGTAGGAATGATCAGAGGAAAGAAAATACTACAAACAAACACATTTAACAGTGAAACTAGAAATTGAAAGCTGTCAATGCAATAGAAGCTAAAACACAAACTGAAAAGCTGGAAACCATATTATATCTGCATCAACAAAGATCAGAAAAGTCCTTATTAGCAATTCACAGAAGTAAGGCAGCATGAAGTTCTTACCAGTATAACTCCTATGCTGTTTAGTTCTATAAGCTCCTGATTCACGCTGCTTGTATTTGTCTGTAGAAGGCTAGATATTAATCTAATCACATTTAAACGTGTGTTCCCCACAGGTGGATCCAATACACCCCACGTTGTCTTCATGACACTTTTCTGGAAAAAAAAAAAATTAAAGAAACACAGAATCATTCAAATTTCATATTAAAGAACAGTGAAAAAATAAATCCCAAACACCTCATTACTATTATGCAGAAAAATTGCAGGAAAGCAGTTCTCAATGCTGAAAAAAGTTTATTTCAACTCTATCTATAGACAAGGAGCAATGGAAAACAGCCCCATAAAACCAAAGACACTAAAAATTGCTTGGTAGCTGCAGAATATTGGAACAGATGCATTCCACAAAAAGGAATAGGAAATACACTTCTCACTCGTTAATCCACATACTCAGTTACAGTCTGCACTACTATAGTAGTTGAAAACAGCTAGGGGGACAGTCTGAAAGCACACATTATGCCTCAATAACCCTGATTTCATGTACATGAAAATGATTTCAAAAGTTTCTCTTGATGCATTCTTCTAGCGTCATAAGCAAAACAGGCTCCATCCACGGTGTCCTAATGAGTTACTTCCATCAGCAACAACTCCTTCCACGCACTAACAGGTCTTCATTTTACAATATGTGCCATAGTTTTTACACCAAAGTTTTAGCTGGCTGCCAGATCAGACCTGCTATCACATAATTATCAGCCAATCAAAGAAACCTAGTACTGACTACTCCAAGAGAAAAGTCTAGTAGCAACAACTATGCCATGAGGAGGGCAAAGTTACAAAGATGTCTTTCTTTCTGTACTAAAGCACTTGGAGAAGCAGGGCATGATGAAATGTACTGCTTTCCACGACTAGCTTTATTTCTTGCCTAACCACTGCTTCTCCCTTGTGTCAAAACTGACTGAGATCACGTTAGGTCCAGTCTTTAACACAAAATCTGAGGGCACGAATATAAAAAGATGCTCATTTCACTACTGCTTAAAGAAAGCAGACTTAATAACTTCATTAGATGATTTATTTAAATGCTTAGCATTCCAAACACTGGAAAATACTCAGATACATTGCTTTTAATTCAACATAGATCTGTATCTTGCCATGTTGCTTATTTTAAATCAAGACAATTTCTTTGTATTTTTCAACTCTTCTGCACTTCAGTGTTTGAGGACTCATCTCTTCTAGGCTACAACAGTCTCTACCACTACCTTTTTTCCCATCATCCTCATCCCAACTCGTTCCTTTTATCTGATCTTTTGTAAGATGACCATTTTAACTCTGATTCTCAGGTCCATTTCTCATACAGACTGCAGCACCCAGATCCAAACCACGTTCCAGCTGAAATCCTACTGGTGATAATTGTATAGGGAAAAAAAAACCATAGATAAAATATCTATTCATACAGCTGGTTGCATTTATCTTTAGTAACAGCATGACATGGATATGTTGCTTATCATAAAAAAAAATAAAGTAAAATAAGTTGAACAAAGCAGCATTTAGTATGCTTGGAGTGCGTGGTACATGCAATAGAGCTGGTCTACTCTTAGACCTGCACAAGTCTAGAAGAACTTTGCACAGCCAACACGAGGCCTGCACAAGTTCCAAACAACTGAAGCAGCCAGAATCTTTGTTTCCTATTCAGATAGGATTTATGGGGCTGAAAACAGTACCGACTGCCAAAAATAGAAAGGAAAATCTTATTTCCTTGCTTTCAGAAGGAAGTAATCTTCAAGGCTACTTGCCAGCTGAATTGAGTTTAAGCTGGAAAAGTGTGTCAATTAGCAAAAAATATTGGCTCAGAGACAAATATAATGAACAGAAAAGGTCACAAGAGGCAGGGAAGGAACCTGGGCTCTTGCCTGAAAGTTGTCAGACAAACTGGGCTTTGTTCTTGAAACCCAACTAAAATACAATCACGCAGTGACAGTCTTGCTTCAAATTCTTTGACAACATAATGTTTCACTTACTTTTGGAGGCTCAAGTAGGAGTTCATGGAAGGATGAAAGTCGTGCTTTTATGGCTTCTAGAACACTTTTATTGACAGAATACGTTGAATTGCTCATGCCTGGAGGACAGATCTCTATATGGCCTTCAAATCTAAAGCACACAAGCCATGTCTGATTATTAATGCCAAAACTAGGTCTAAAACAACACTCAGGCATAATTTTGAGTGTCACTATTTTGAAGACATAAACAGAATGAAGAGGAGAGCAGGAACATGATCTTAAAAATATAAAATCAAGCACAAACTTACGGTGGAGCAAGATTCTTCCAAACACTAGACCTAAGGTACCTACATTTATCACATCTGAAATGTCCAGCATGGTTTTCAGCTAGTGATAGACTATTACAGCTGCTATATTCCCTCTTTTGTGAGGAAGAGCTTCACCTGTCTATTAAACAATCAAACCTCTGTTCACTTGTTTCTTGAAGTGAAATTGTGATAGAATTCCACCTAACTTTTTTTGGGGAAAGTTGATATCCAATTGCTACACTGTACATAGATGCTCTATTTCCTGTTTCCAGGAAAAAAAAGATGAAATGAAATGAGTCTGATCCATCAAGTGGCAAGTTCCAAGAAAAAACCTGCAGAAAAATCAGTCATTGGGGGAACTGATCGATACTGGCATTATTACACATGGCTCCTTTGTTTCACTTCAGCTGTGATGGACCACTAAAACATTTCAGTCAAGGACACAGAAGGCATGTCAGCAGTTGAGTTAAAGTAAGCAGGCATAAGTAATAAGAACACTTACGTCTGTCGTCTTGTCTCAAGCAAGGTCAGTAATATTTGGATTGCACTGACTATTGCAGATTCATTTTTTTCTTTATGAAAAATATTAGACAGCAGCTGCTCAATGATTTCTCGTCTGAAAACAAAGCACTGCCATCAGACACAACAGTTCATGACACAGTTATCACAGAGAACTAGTTACTGTTTGCTCCTGTCAAATTAACTAACGGGATAAAGTAAAAGTATTATTGCAAGCTATCAGATTTGTTACCACATTCACCTCCATCATCACCACTGCAGTAAGATTTCCCTACTACTCCTGATCTCGTTTGGTTTTGAATCTGACAATCAATATGATAGAAAAGGATAGTTTGCAGTCAGACCAAAAGACCAACTCACCACGTCACACAGCCACAAACCTAACCCTAGAACCAGCAAAACAAAGAAGGTGATAGACAAAAATCTTCAAGTACAATCAAACACTTAGATTAACTTAAAATAACAGATTGAAGCCCAAGTTCCCAATGCACATTCTGCACTGTATCAAGCTGACCTCTATATGTCTGATCCCACCAACTTTGACAGAGCAGGAAATATTTTAGTCTAACATTCCTTAGTCAGAAGCAAGGTAAAAGAATGGGACAAAATGTTAAGAGAAGCCATCAGGGAATTCATCCAGGTGAGCTGTGCTTATTTGCAAAGCTATCTTAAATTACACAGATAATAACAGGCAGTCAGGAGAACTTATCAGGAAAGCGGAGACTGCAATTCTAAAGCTTTTAAAGGACAAATGTTAAATGCTGCTCTGATTAACTGGAAAAAAATATATCAGAAATTGGGCAAACCAGCTCACTTCTCTAGACTTGCAAGCAGGGGATCTGGTTCTGAGCTGTTCTGCACTTGTAACATCTGATCTCTGCTTAAACGAATAATTTCACAGAGTGACTGCGATGCATTTGAATGTCTCTGGAACAGAAAAACATAGCATCAGTAGATCAATAACGTGGAGCAGTAGAATTCCTCATTAAAATAACCCGCAAAATTGACAGTCTTTTCTACCACAAAACACTTTAGACAACTGTACCATGCTGTATCTAAATCTTAACAAGACAAAAAGCTTTTGGTATTGAAAGTATCTGCAGTATTAAAAAGGCAGAACGTTAGAGCTGAACACTCAAAATAACATTTAGTCTACACTGTGCTTTGACTAATACAAATACACTCTGCAAATCCCAAAGAAAGAGGGAAGAAAAGCAAGCCTTTCCCAAGCACAAACTACTACACCATTAATTACTGGAATTAGCTTGCTGAAAATAAACAAGCAGAAAACAGTCCAACTAGAAGAGTTCTAGCACTACTGTACAGCAATCAAAAAGAACATCAGACCAATACTTACATCTTCATCTTGAGATGGATGTACAATTTCTACAAGCCGCTGAATAATCCTCTCTTCATTTAGCCACTGTAAAAGCATTTGTGGACACTGGTAAGCACGTTGTCCAAGTGAACAAATTTAACTGAGGGAATTAAAAGTAGCTTGAAAAGTGCCCTGAGTCATGCTGTTGATATTTCTAAACAAGGATTAACAGCACTTCAGAGAAAAAGGGCAGAAGCAAAATTAAGAGTTCATGAACACGTGTAAAAAACAAATAAAAACCCACAACTTTTATAATCTCTTCCCAAAATGCCTAGCAGGGTGTTATGGGTCAAGAATGGTATAAACAGTCTAAACAGGTTATAAAGTTTTTTTTTTGACAGTTCAGAATTCAGACAAAAACTGTGGAAGTTTTACTCACATTCAACACTTCTTGCCTGGGCTGTGGAGGCTCTATGCAAGTCAGTAGCCTGAGCAGCAAGTCCATGATAGCAGAGGTCCCTATGTGCTTAATAACAAGGTCTACAAAATCATGTTTCTTCTTTAAAAAGTCCACAATCTAGAAATGAACAAGGAAGAAGCTTACATTTGCTTACCTGTATTTTACATGATAAGTTACACTAACCAGTTTTAGTTCCTCTCACTTGCTAAAGAAATAATAAGTAACTTCTTAAATGCTTCCACCTCTTAAAGCCAGTAGTACAAGATAAAAAGGCACACATACAGAGTAGCAACAGTGGCACAAAACAGATCCATGTTTGCGCACACATGGAGCCTCCTTTCAAAACCAGCTTTTTTGGTATGAGGTTCCCCCACACCTGGCTCAGGAAGCGAAGTGGAACACAGCAAAACCTCAATGTAATATGCTTTCAAGCAAATACAGAAATTACTGAAACAAAAGCACAGCAGGCAGTCACAAACTTACCTTGTTCAGGTAGCACAGCCAGACATGCCAGCTGTTAATGCAGGGCAGCATGAACACACAAGTACTGTGCTTCTGAACGAGGACTCAAATGTGTCTCACCCTTTTCTATGACAGTTCTTCACTCCCCACTGACTGTATTCATTTACCCATGACTCCAACAGCACGGCAATTTAATACTAACATCACCATGCAAATACTGACATAAGCTAAAAGGCAAACACTCACACAAAGGCAGTTCACTCGCCCAAACAGCTCAGGCAAATCCAAAGCTGTTAAACTGGAGAGCTTTTAATCATTTACCTGTTCTGGTTTTCTGCTTATGAGAATACTTAGCACCTTGCTGAAGAAACTGGCAAGTAAAGGGTTTAGAGGAGATTCGTTTAAGAGAAAGCTGTACAGTTTCATAAGTAAGGATTCTTCTTCTCCCAGCCTATCATTGATCTGTGAGACATCTGAAGTGAGCAGCTCACAGGATATGTTTGGATATCTGCAAAAAAAGAAAAGAAGTGTGCATATAATCTTAGTCATTCATACTTCAAAGAAATACATATCCAATCAGAACCTAATGGGGCTTCTAACAAGAAGAATCTTTCAAGCATGATAGCTCTGCACTAATTACAAAAAAGCAAACGACTGCAAGCTGATAAAGCTGTACATTCAGCTACAGCCTGTGTTCTTTCATTTAGAAAATGGACTACTATGACCTCCAGTTGCAACAGGACAGCACCAGGGAAGGGGGGAAAGATACTTGGGAGGAAGCAATGGGTTTGCCCCTTTCTAACAAGGCTTACATTATAGAAATCAAAGCAAATAGTTTCAGGATTAATATCTCTATACCTATTGCAACTGTAGAGGCTCACTACCTCTACCCAAAGTCTGATAAAGCCTGCAAAACTAGTTAATACTATCAAATACAGGAAATTATTGCTTTGGTGGTCTCTTAGCTTAATTACTCAGGTCTTGAGTAGTGCACTTCTGGCCTTCACTCACATCAAAGATAGTTATGACAGCACCAGGAATTTAAAGCTTATAAGCGTAAGGTACTGCTGTTTCAAAGTCAGCTAGAAATGCAGGAGGTTTGGTTTGTCAGAAAGAGAAGAGCTGCAACTAAGAGAGCACTCTATTTCACATTAAATTTTGCCTTCTGTTTTAAGAAAGGCAATCTTTCTAAGCAGACAGCCCTAAAAGAGGCAGAATTGGTACAAGTGCCTTTATACAAATTGCCAGCTTGAATGCTGAGTTTGAACATTCCCAACAAACTAGCAAGAGTCATGGCCATACTCAGTTCTAACAGCTCTAGCTCTGCAAAGGAAAACACCAGCAATTAGATGGTCAGCATATTCTTCCAAGGAGTGCTATAGACTTTCTAAAACGCATCCCCAAAACTGCTTACTAATCATTAAGAAAACAAGGCTAAGCACCTAACTAAATTAAGCAAATGCAGATTCACTCGAGTACCTTGCATCACATTAAGAAAGATTTTTCATCTAAATTCTGATTATTTTATTTAGCATTTCTTTGAGGGGTTCCTGCTCAGAAAGCATGCAAATGTCAGAACTTATGTAAAAAGTTCTACAAGCCTCTTGAAAACAAGCTCAAAGTTTAACAGCACTGTACTAAAGGACAGCAAGCAGAAATGCAAACATACTACCAGATTAACACTGAAGTATGTCACCTCTCTTTCTACATCCCCAAGTCCCTCAACCCCTTAGAAGTTCTCCTACTTGTATCGTATTTTTTCATCCATGTCTTGAGGTGGTTCTTCGATAATGAATGAAACCAAGTCTTCCAAGCATTCTGACTTCAACAGAAACTCGATAAGTTTGCGATTCTGAGCCTTGCACTCCTGCAGGACGTCCTCCTCATCCATCAACTCCTTCAGTGTTACATCTTCTCTCTCTAGAAGTGTATCTATGTGGGATGACGAATGGAGATCAAATTTCCAAAACATGCTGGTCTGGATAAAAAGAACATAACAAACATTAGCTTCACACGTGTATTTAAGCACTACTAGCAGAAACAATTCACAGTACTATCTCATAGCTTCTAATCCCAAAGGCATCTGCACACATAGAAATGTTCTAGAACTTGAACAATACACAGCAGCAGATGCTTAAAGACCATCACAGAGCTACTAAGTCATACTTGATTAAAGAAGAATGTTCTGTAGCACGTTTTAAACCTTCAGCTTGCTAGCATTTGAATGCTGGAAGTTAGCCAGCTCTGGGGTTTTTACTTACATTTGCTCTTGCCACTGTTTCTGATCTACACCCCAATTCCCAAACTCAGAACTACCTGCTCAGCAATGACTAGATCTGGGCAAAGCGTAAGCATACTATCGTGCCACCTCTGTCACTGAAAAGAATACCTCCACAGGTACAAGAATTATAACCAAAAGCATTGGAGCGAATGTCAGTGCAAAGCCTACTGTTTCACTGCACCTCCTCTCCACAAACTTGAAACAAGAAGGGGAGAACAAGGGACAGTAAAATCTCTTATGCAGATGCCTGAAAGGACAGCGTCCCCAAGAAAGCACTATGAAAGACTAATAAAGGCATGAGCAATTTAAGCTTTCCTTACAGAAAGGCTGTGAGCACCTTCCTGCTAATTTTGTTTCTCTAAGACAACTTGCAAAGCAGTTGCAAGACAGCATCAACTAGCCCTGTATGAATGCAGAACTTGAGCAGATGGATTGAAAGACATGCTAGAGATCAGTACGAACAGCTTTTTCCCTACAGCTGGAAGCAGCATGGTTTTAAGCAATACTCAGAGAAAAACAAAACCTCTCTTTGCTCCTTTAGTAACTGTCTTCCAAGTGTGAAGGTTTAATAATTAATGGTGAAAATCAGTGACAGTGTTAGCTGTGTGGACATGAGGCTACTGCAGAAAACACAGGTAAGCAGTACTATTTGAGCAAAAGCACTTTTACAAGCTGCAGTTTTATATGAAGAAGGTGCAAGTTTATCTACAACAATCAAGCCATGCCTTTGGCATATAAACTCTTATGATAACCTACAACATTTAAAACAAATACTTAATTCTTACATAAACTAAAGGGTAGATAGACAGCCATCTAACAAGAAAGGCTGAGGAAAGGACAGAGAATTTAAGGCCTTTTAGAGCTCAGTCTTCAATAACCATAGATCTCGGGCAACCCAGTTCTCAGAATCAGAAGACTGTAATTAGGGAAGCAGCAACTTTCCATCTGTGGTCACTAAAATTTCAAGGGACCAATGAATCAGCTCAACATAAGTCCACAGGGCCTGACAGGGTTCACCCAGAGGGATTTAAACAAGTGCTGTGAATGGACCCTTCTCAACAATCTACCAAAGGCTTTGGGGGGCTCTGCTGACTGGAAGCCAGCCAGCATTAGACCCACCTGCAAAAAGGGGAGTGAGAGAAGTCCCAATAGACTGCTGCCTTGTTAGTCTAACCTCAGCACCTGCAGAAGCTTCAGAGATGATGGCTCTTGTGGCAACTGAAGGTCAGCTGAAGAATAAAGCTATGATCTGGCACAGTCAACATGAGTTAATGAAGAAAAAGTCTTGCCTTACTACTTTGATCACATTTTACGCTAAGGCCCACTTGGGAGACGAAAGGAAGGCAGTGGACATCAGTCTGGATTTTAATAGGGCCTTTGATAGCATCCCTCACAGCATCCTTCTGAAAATACTGTTCAAAATGGACATTATGAACAAATTCATTACCATGAGTGTTGAAACACTGGAACAGGGAAGCTGGATGCCCTGTGTCTGTCAGCGTTCAAGGGGCATTTGGACCATGCCCTCATTTCTTTAACCCTTTGGTTAGCCCTGAAGTGGTCAGGTAGTTGGAATAGATCATCTTCTGAAAGTCTCTTCTATATGAACTGTTCTATTCAGACAGCATTAAGCGTTTATTTCTTACATTTAAATGGATTCAGCATGCCTACCATAGCTGCTCAAACAAGAAGGTGTCAAATTTTGTCACCTCAGCCACTGAAGTGCTGAGAAATCTGTGCATCTAGCAAAACCTCATTAGCAAGACCTCCAATACTTAACTTAAAGATTAGAATAAGCCTGGTATACTCACTGCAGCCACGTTTCAATTGCTTTTAAGGTTTCCCTTGTTGTGTTAATTATGTGCTGATCACATCTTACCGCCTTACTTTGCTTAGGATTTTGTCAGGAGTTTTAAGCACAACTAACTGCCCCAGATTACACAGCTTCCTGTTCTAACTTACAGGAGTAAAAAAAAAAAAATCATTCAAGAAAAAGTACAGATAGTTTTAATTGCAGTATCGGTATTACAATCATTTGAGAGTCCATGCTGTGATTAGGAGGATAAAAAATACTAATAATTTCAGAAGAAAATACATTTTACAAGCAGATGTCAAAAGCACTTGATTTCACATCAGCTTAAATCAAACTACACTAAGTTATTAAAAACATTGGCTTATGATTATTTAGGCTACACACAGACTCACTGGGAGCAATTAAACTAGTGCATTATTAAAGGCACAGAATATTTTCTTCCTTAAGCCTCTAATAAGTAGATCAAATCCCTCCCCTTGCCCCATTTAGTGAAAGTAGCATCTTTGCAAGTAACCACTACCAACCAATGCTAATTCCAGACAGAAATCCCTCTGCAGTGATTAAAGCTCATTTCAGTAGCTTCAAAGCATTTTTCAGTTACTCATTTCAAGAGAAATTCAACAATAGAAAACAGCAACAACAAAAAAAGAGGCATACTACTGCAAACATGTCACTGCGTTATTTCCCAAACTGTCTCCCAGGCAAGCTCTTTTAGGGATGCTCCCCCAGCATGTCAGGTGCCAGCCGGAGATTATTCCATCACTTTTCAACAGCAGCCCAGGTCCTTTGGAATAAGGAAAAATAAACACCATAAAATGTGCAAGTGAGGAATTCCAGGAACCCCGAAGATCATTTTCTACAGGCGTTAGCACTGATGATCGCCTAAGAACAGCCTGTCACAGCTCCAAATGGAAGTTACAAAACCAAGTTTGTTCTTCCCATAGCCTACTTTTCCACCCTCTCCCCCAAACCTCACCAACTCTCAGTTATTTTCATGCTTTTTCAAACTTCAGTCTGATTAAGAGAGGCAAAGAATGAGAATGTATGTCCCCTAATCAGGAGGAGGCACTTTCCAGTTGTGCTTCTCACCACATTTCACTATCTGCTAATTAATGATCAGCTCCAAAGGTCAGGTGCGTTCTATTACTCAACTTCAGCTCTGATGCCAGCAGCAAAATCACAATGTTGATTCAACAACAGATGGAAAAGATTGCCAAATCTTAACCATGCTTTAGATAATATGGGACAGCACTTAAAACTCCCAGACACAGAAGAAAAACTGTATTAGAGATGGCAAAATGATTGCAGGTACTTCTCCCGTAACACTTAGTCAGCTTCCCACTGTCTCTGAAAGCTCCCAGCAAGCAAGGCTAACAAACTTCCAATTTATTTAAGTATTTCCTCAGATAATTCACACCACCTTGATACAAATTATAACAATCAAAGATACTATGCAGCATTTGTGACAAAGAATAAACAAACAAAAAACCAAAACCTGACTTTTTCCTGCAGTTAATACTGTGACAGATTCTTCTCTAAATGAATCATGGAATAGCATTCCACACAGTTAGTACCTGACTTAAAATCTGTAACAAAAGAAAGCCCTTCAATAAACTGATGAAATTCATCACTCTTCTGAGCCACAGGTAACTGAAATTCTTAACTGAGAGGAAATAAAGCTTACAAATGCTCCTTCCCCAAACCCTTTACATCTTTTGTCCATTACAGCTGAAAACACCACGGTGCGTTTCGTTTAACAGGAACTGAACTGTGGGTGCCTCCAGAGGCCAAATGCTCAGCTGACAATGCTCAACAAAACTTGTGGATGTAACAAGTTTCTCCATAGTTTCCAGTAGATGTAGCAGTCAAACAGCTTTCCCGAGGGCAGACATCTCTCTGCCCTCAGTCCACAAAATGAACATAAATTCTAGGCAGATATGCCCCTACAAGGGTAATTCTGGGGACTGTCTCCTGCCTCGAATCTCTTAAAGAAGTGTGTTTTGTAAAGACTATTTAGGTGATCTGCTTGTTTCATTTCTGGACTTCTATGTATCATATGCAGGTGAATCTTTAACCAGGAGTTACCTCCAGCTTGGCAGCTCATACCTGTGGTACCTACAAGCAGATGAGGCCGTCTGAACCAGCACAGAAACTAGACTAAAAGGACTTCAGGCATTCAGCTAAAAGCTGTTTCAGGTATGATGTTTTACTTGACAGCTGAATGTGTAAAAACCAGATACCCAGAGCTTCCATCAAGAACTTCACACATTTTTACAGCAATAAGCAGTTAAGCATGAGAATTTTCAAGTGCATTGGTGTCGAGCTGAAGCTTCTGCAGTGTTTTGTGACCCTAAGAAAAGCTATAGAGTAATGAGGGTTGTGTTGCCAAGTACCAAACTGAGAACACAACTTCTTCACACAACACCATCTTCTTCATATGGAGTTCAAGAGCACAGAGAAAAATCAGTTACTTTTGCACCAAAAAAACTTTCTTATGATCAAACACATCCTAAGTTAAGTAGGTATTTCAATAAAACAGGATTTTCCCACTCTCAGGCAGCAGCTCACAAAAGGCAACTCCATCACTGGATGCAAGGACAGGAGCCACAAACGTAGTCCTTGGCACCACCAACGTTACTGAGGCAAGACTTGTTCCTCAGAACTTCTATAAAGCATTTCCAGTGCTAACAGTGAACTGTCTTCCAAAAACCAAACAAGTGAGCAGGGCTCGGGGGAAGTAATGAAAGAAATAGCATCTTTTAATGGTAACACTATGAGAATTTAGCAACATTTCAAAGACCTTTAACACTAAGTGGCTTCTTTAAAATGCTAAGCATGTCCTTCTGCCAGCTCACCAAGTTACCAACTGGTTAACTGCACTTCATTAGTTTCCACCTCATTTCTGCCCAAAGCAATGAACGTTAATCAGGTACTACACGAGCATTCAATAAAGCCCTTCCTTTGATACTGGAAATTTACCATCTGTTCAAGGTAAAACTAAAGTACACCTCTGAAAAAAATTGAGAGAGAGACAGAAAGAGCAGTCATGAACACTGACAGAGAATACACTCTAGTGGCTACTTCTTAAACTGCTAAGACATCAACTGCTGTTCCAAATCCTAGATTCACCTGTACTGCATCACACCTAGCAATCACAGATTGAAATAAAAGCAATAATACAGCAGGGTTTTTGTGAGACAGTTTCTATATTTCTTAAAGGCAGGTGAAATCACACGAGTAAGTTCTTGCCATTGTTGAGCTGTAAGGTACAGGAACTGCAGGGGAATGCTCCCTGCAGGTAACCCAGTGACAGTTCAGTGTTAGAAATACTCACCAGGTAGAATTTCACTTACATGCCAAAACAACACATCGCTTTTCCCAAATACTATCAACAATTCCTGCGTAGCTAAAGTGTGTTTGGAAACACAATAGAAAGCAAACTCAGTATGTGCATTAACTATTCTACAACAATATACTATGGATACAATTGATTCCAGCCAGTCCAGATTCCAGCTGCTAGCTGTGTTAACTACATACCTAGGGGAAATACGTGGCAGTCTTTTCTTGACTAGAAGAAAAACCATGTTTGAAAACAGTACGAAAACAGTCATTTTCCTAACACTCAAAAAGCTGTCTCCAGCTCATAATGAGAAGGGAAATTATCTAATAAGGAAGGACGACTTTCATTCTCTACATATTAGACAGTAAGTACCTCCTTTTCACTTCCCAAAGGAGGGGCCTGCCACAGTTGTAGAGCAGCTGAAAACTGAGACAGAAGTGACATCTCTTTCACACCTACCATTCCATGCTTCCACTGGCTGCACTTACATCTAGATCAGAGCTACAAATACGTGTTTACACAATACAGATAATACACACCCATCACATGCACACACACACACACACATCTACTGACCGACTGTCCCAGCAGTCAGCTGCTATGATGAAGACTAGAAGAACTTCCAGAATAGTTCATGCTGACTCAACCACACTGATAGCTCCACACTCCTGAGGTCATAACTGTCTGGCTAAAAATCTGCACTTCACAATCAAGTTACATGAGCAATTTTACACCAAGCAACTCATGCAGCCTTGATGACTCCTACGCTGTGTCAAATCACTGGTTAATAACTGTCACTAAATGTAAGCTTTTGTTACCTATAACTACAAAACCGACACTGGCCTCCCCATACCCAAACAAAATAGAATAATTTTCTACTAACTTCACTTCAGCAGCCAAATATTTACAAATTTAAAGTATTAATTGGTCACGGAATTCAGTTAGATTCTCAGTATTTTCAACTCTTCCAATTATTTTCAAAATGGAAATTGGGTTATTTATGTACTGAGAAGAACAGATGGTTCAGCAATATTATAACAAGACAGCTAAATGATGCTTACCTACATAGAAGACAATTTTACTCTGAAGCATTCAGTTTGATACCAAAAGTTTGGCTGCAGAAGGAAGCGTTACTGTACTCCAATACAAGAACCTATAGTGCCAAAAATCTTTCGTACCTAATGTATGTCAATTCATGAACACATTTGCTTTGAAACTCTTCAAAGAATGGGAGGCTGGGCAGCTGATACACTTCCTGGCACAAAATCAAAACACTTTAAAACATGTTCCCTGTAAAACAAATAGAATAACCACAACAGTGTGTATAGAATGAGCCTCAAGGGTCAACTGAGACTGAAAGGAAGAGGTGGAACAGGGGCTGAGAAATAAAACAAAAACAAAAGGTAGCGCAACAGCAGGACGGATTAAAAGACAAAGTTAAAAACAGCCATCTATAAAGTTGTTGGGAAAAAAAGGCTGAAAGGAAAGCCTGACCTGCAGAAAAGGAAGAACAGCTTGGAATCTGGTAAGCAAGCCTTTCGTGGAGATGAGGGACAAAGTTAAAGCATTTAGGCACAACTTAACATTTAATCTGAGGCTTCATAGACGCCAAAGCTAAGTGTATCGCTATAGATGAAGTTTAATAGCAACGTTTCTTACCTGTTAAACAAAAGCTTTAACAAAAGTTAAAAAACAGAATTTGTACTCTCAGGCTCCTTGCCCATTACAGGGTATCCTGGCAACAGCAAAAATCTTTCAATCTACAGTATTAGCAGATTAGCAGGACTGAATTAGGATTGAATTAGATGAAGCAGATTTCTTCCTACAACGACAAAAAAGACATTTTATAATTTAGTGTTGTTAACAGGCTCCCCGTTCAGTAGTTCAGCAACTGCACGAACACAAAGTGTTGCTTTGCAGGAAATAAGACACACGAGCTGAAGGAGGAAACAACTCTACCAGCCTAAATATGCATAAGAAAAATACATTCAGAGAATGGTTTGGGTTGGAAGGAATTCTTGGAATTCTTTCTGAACTCAAAGTAACATTTACATTTCAGTTACAATCACCCAATGAATGTGCTCTGCTTGGTACTTTTTTATTTATTCACTTTAGGGCCCAGAAGTTTTGCTTGCAGTACCATGTTATTTAGTACCTCCCAACAGTGCTGGAACCTGAAGTCACCACTCTTCCATTTCATGCACAATGGCACAGAGATTCCAAGCCCTGACATACACAAACATTAAATACAGCCTTCTCTAAGGCTATTTTAGTAACCAACGTACACATGAACTGAAGGTCAGCGTAATACATTGACCATAATACTTTCAAAGGTCAAATATGTTTTTCATCCTAAGATCTTCAGGTCCAAATGTCAAGTAGATTTGCCAATTCCTTGTGAGCCAAGTGACTTACTAGAGCAGGAAAAGTAAACAAGTGTGTTGAATTTTCTTTGCTTTACCCAAGTTTGCTTGGTTGCCATTTCTGGTTTTCAAATGCACACACATGAGGGGGTAAAAAAACCCCACACTTCCTTTCCTTAAAATGAGGGCTGCTCCAAAAGTAACACTCCTCTTTCATGATGTTGGCCCCGAACATCAAAGGCAGATGGTGCTGTGGCAGTAGAAGTTGAACCTTCCCATTACATTTTGCTGCCGCGTGACAGATGGCAGCAGAGTGCGACAAAATGGCATCTGACATGCAAGTGCAGATGGAGCAAAGGTGCGTCAACAAATTCCTCCACCAGCAGGAAACTACATCCACTAACACTGAGGTTGCTGAACATTTATGGAGACCAAACCTTGGATGTCAGCACAGTGAGGCAGTGGGTATCCAGTATGTCCTAAGTGTGAGTGTACAACATATCAAGTACATTTTTTCCTCTTTTTCCAGCAGTTTATTAGAAAGCTTCCAGAAAGCTTCCACAGTGAAGCTACCATCCAGCAGTAGGAACTGTTACATGTTAATAGTCAAGACAGAGCAGTGCAAAATTATTTAAGAGACTGAACAGTATCATCATCACTCCTTTAACAAATCTGTCCAAACACATGGATGAGAGAACCTAAATATGTCCTCATTAGAACACCAGAATACTGTAGTTTACTACAGAATTTAATCAGGAACATCTCTTCCTCCCCCAGAATCACGTTTAAGCCAGCAGTCCCAACACTACCCACTCAGAATGGTCTCCCCTTGACACCACACCTGACCAACCTCTGCAAGCCACTTCAGAGCAAAAACACACATTACGACACGACAGATGAGACTGCTGTGAGAAGCAAGGAAAGAGGGTTGTGGTTTGGGTTTTGTTTTTTTTTTGCAAAATCCACATGCTCAAAGAGTCTGCCAGTCAGCAGGGCCTGTGTGGCCAAGGAACAGGGAGCACACTGGTAGAGACAGGGAAACCAGGATGCATCTCTTCCATCTCTGTTTCAAATCATATGACTTTCAGTTGCTTCAAGATTGCAGCATGAAAGTTTTTCTGCAGTTGACAACGAGAGTAAGATCCGTATGGTTGAAAAGACAATTCAGCAACAGTTGTATTCTCCCAACCGCACGACAATCCCCAACACAGCTCCTGGACTCTTGCACTGCTTCGCCAGAAATGGAAAACAAAACAGTACTGCTAATTTACTGTTGAGGTTGTACAGGTTTTTTTTTCCTGTTTGAACGTTAAAGGAAAAAACCCTAACTTAAGGAGACAGCTTTAAGGTTAGATGTGTGAATTCTAGCAGAAGTCTTTAAGCATTTATTCCTTTCTGCTTCAGTTGGTGCTCTCAACAAGCGTGGGGGTTTTTGTGTTCATGATCCCCAGTTATTAGACTTGAAAGGCAACAGAAAAAAAATAAAAATCAATGATATTTACCACCACGGCTGCACTAGTGCTGGGTCAATGTCTCACCTCCTCTGCCTCGCGCTGCCCCAACCAGCAGGGACACTGCTGAAAACAAGCACGGAAGGGATGAGAAGGCTCTTTGTTAGAATGTGTTCACCAGAACCAGGCAACAGGAAACTTTTTTCTCATAGTAAAGTAGCGGCAGAAGCAGCATTAACAGACAACAACAGAGCTGTGTCAGACACTTTGCTACACTACAGCCACTCAGACCTACACTCAGCTTGCCCTCATGAAGCAGAGCACAACAGCCCACACAGCTTTCTGACCCTACGTCAGTACTTGGCATGGCACGTTGTAAATATAAAAGCCCATGCACAATTGGCTTGGATGTTTCTTCCATGGCATTGCAGTACATAATGTAAACATACCCACTTTATCTGGACAACCTTTAACTGTTCAGACAAACAAGTTCATCCTCCTTTTCACCTTGCTGATTAGACCTTGAAAGTTGGATGCAAGTCAAGTTTCGAGGTATGTGAAAACACAGAGGTAGAAGAAAGCTGCTTGCTTCAGTAACTTCGAACCAGGTCAGCAAAGAGTGCCCTTCTGTACGGGCACCGTAAGCAAGTCCTACAAGTTTTCTTAGCGTGCAACATGTCAGTCTTGTTAAAATGCATACTTTGTAACATTTGCAGTTCAGAAATGGAAGCTGGCAGCAGCCGCTGGGAGCCCGGCACCGCTCTGCCTCTCGAAGCTCCCATCAGCTCTGGCTGCCACCAGAATTAGAATGGACTTAAGTTAACGCCCTAAAAATTAAACCCAAACTTGCTTGTCACGTACTTCCCTCTCGTTTGACTCTTCACTGTCACTGAAGGTTCCCCAGACCTCTCCACTCACGTTACAGACCACCTGAACTTCACCAGTTGACAAAGACTGCGGGCAAAATGTTCCTGCTTTTCCTCATAGTAAGGCTTAGAGAACCATTAAGATAAATTCTGACAGCTGCACATTTTCAAGTGTCAAGCAAGACTGCCCTTCTCATAAAGCAAAGACTGAGCCCCTAAAAGTTTTATCTTGAATTTCTGTGCTACCATATGCTATAAGGACAGAACTAATCAACCCATTCTGTGCACATACCCAGGCTAACATGACATATCAGGCTAGCATGACCATATCACAAACAAACATGTTTTCCTCTTCAAGCTGAAGGCTGGAATCCCTACGGCGCAATTCGGAGCGTACAGCTCTGACAGCATGAATAGAACAACTGAAGATATTTCTTCTTTTAATCTATAATTCAAGCGGGTTAAAATAAATCCTTGACTTCAACTTACACTTGAGGAAAAGGATTCCTAATCTTGATTTCATGTACCGAAACTTAGATCCTCTCTATGCTTGGTACTGCAGCTTCTTCATTTGCACATTTATCAACACAACAAAAGTAAGAAAATTACTCCAATGTATCTGTTAAGCAAGGAAATTAAAATACAGCAGCAGCTGAGAGATTCAGCTTACCAACCTAAGAATAACTGCCTTGAATGAGAAGACTGTACCAAGTCCCGCTCGCTTTTGCTCACACTCAAAACGATAACCATTAAGCTTATGTAAGATCTAGAAGAGAAATTAGAAAACCAGCAAATAATGGAAGTCCCAGAGAAGGCACCTTGCAGAGCTTCGAGTGACCACCCTCCTTCCTGCTTGCCCCACTGCATGAACCTGAGTTTTAGCACGCCGTGCTCTTACTGCGGTTAGATCAGACTGCCCAGACACAGGTGTGTTTGCTGCCTCAAGCAAATGCATCCTGTCCCCACAGAGCTCTTCCATTTTGATGGGCAGTACCAGAAAAAAAATAATCAACACTGCAGAACAGAACGTGCCCCCTTCTTCCACATGCCACGTATATCCTATGTTTGAAGAAAAAGCCAAAAGTTGCAAAGGGAAATGCAAGACCTACTTCGTGTTCTCAGCAGTCTTCAAAACCTTCCTAAAGCTCTGCTTCAGTTCTTTGCACTGGATCATTATGAGGACTTTCAGACTTCCAATCCTTTTTCACAGACAACCACAGAGAGGTACAGATTTTTATTCCTTTTTTTTTTTTATTTAACTATCTGCCTTTGATATCCCATCCCTACAATTCCAATCCAGGCCATTAGATTTCCCATTCTGTCACTGGAGAGTTAGAGATTGATACGCAGTTATGAGTTGCATTTTGGAGTCAAGGCACCCAGGCCAGGAGGAGCCAGCACTCCATCCAGCCACGTCAGGGCTCTTTTTTGGATGTATAAGCACAGCAGGAGAGCACAATAGAACAGACCACCCCAGGAAAAAGAAAAATATTTGTTCCCATCCACCACCAAAATCATGTTAATAAGCAGAAAAACAGTACCTGGCACATCTACTGAGAAATAAATGCAATCAAACAATGCAATAGGTTGAGAAAGAGCCATGTTTTCAGTTCAGCCCCCAGCCACCTAGTACTGGTATTACAGCAGTATTAAATTCTTGGATTGCAACTCTAGGAGAGTCTTCATCGACAAAACAATAAAGCTGAAGAATCACAGACACAGCACGACTCTCAGAGTCTGATGGCAAAATATGTCCCTTTTAGATGAGCAAAGAGATCCCATAACATCACTGGTAAAGTAACAGGAAGAACTCAGTAATGGTGGAAGAATTGTAGGGTTTGAATTAGCTGCCAGATATTTATAAAAGCTAAGTGCTAAATGCTAATATCAACTCACAGCTGTGACAGCAATTATTATCTCTTTTTACAAGCTGCAGAGCCCAGCAAGTTGTGCAGTGGTCTTACAGCATCTTTCATCAATTACCAGGTTTCTAGCTGCTTCGTCTTTAAATCCTCATCCACCTCTCCTCTTTGAAGCACCACTTGTTAAAATAAAAGCTGCACACTGACCACCACAGTCAACACAAACAGCATCATGTTTAGTTTTACGCTGACCACTAAGAACTGCAGACCTTCTAGCAAT